TGGACTTCTCCAGATTGCACTCTAAATTCGAAGAACATCCGCTTCCAAGCCAACCAAGCGTGACTGGGTGCATTCGCCCTGCTTCGTGCCACGTTTGACCAGCTCGGCCCGTGTTGGACCAGTTCAGGTGCCGTTCGTGCAGATTTGCGGGATGTCAGGGCGATTCAGGCCTCTTCCAAGGCCTTTGCCGCGATCACGATGACTGGACAGGTTGTCACATGGGGCGATGAATGCTGTGGCGGTGACAGTAGTACTGTCCAAGAAGTTCTGAAAGATGTGGAGCAGATTCAGGCTACAAAGAGGGCCTTTGCTGCTTTATTGAAAGATGGAAGTGTCATTACCTGGGGTGATCCAGAGGCCGGTGGTGATAGTAGCTTTTTCCGAGAGCAGCTGAAAGGTGTGCAGAAGATTCAGGCAAGCTCGGAATCCTTCGCTGCAATCTTAGCAGATGGAGCAGTGGTGACGTGGGGTAGTCTAACAGGTAGCGTTGGCAGCAGTCTTATTCGAGATGAGCTCAACAATATCCAGCATATTCAGTCTCTCAGTCAAACTCGATGACTTTTTGGCTGACCTTGTTATTCTGTCTTAGCATTGCAACTGTGTACCCAAAATAATCCCAAATATACCCTTGGCTAAAATGCCACTTGGTATTTTGGTATGTATTTTTTTTGGAGGTGTGTGCAAAGTAGTGGGTAGATTGGCCAGGGATTTGGATTTAACAGTTCTTAGGATATGTATGTATGGTGATTTTGTCGGTGTCCGTTTCATTTGTGGCGCCAGGTCCACGTGGGATGCATTTGCTGGAATCCGGTCAGATGGAAGTGTGGTGACTTGGGGTAGCCCCATCGGTGGGGGGGGGCGGTTCCAAGCTCCGTGAAGCATCGGCTGAAAGAGGTCATCCATGTGCAGGCCGGGTGACACGACGATCTCCGACTCCTCCCTGCTGTGCCGACATGTGCCGACTCTCGTGATTTCTGGTCGCCTTTCAAGTGGTTCAGAGGGGGTCGGTGGAGTTTCTGGAGTTGATTCAGGCGACTGCGAGGTTGGCGACCAGAATGGATTTCTCCTGATGTATACTGTATATTAACAGCCAACATACTTAATATAGGCTGTTGTCCAGAATGGATCAACAGCCAAAATTCACAAAATACTTAATTTAGGCTGTTGACGAGTATCCTCCCAAGCCTGGATTGTAAAACCTCTCCAGGCTTGGGAGGTTCATGTACCATGTATTCACTAGGCTCATGAGTCAAACGAGATCATCCTCACAAACTCTCTTCAGGTCACCTGGATCCTTCTCCGCGCAACACCTGCCCAAAAACAGAACAACACAGACGAGGGCCTTCAGGAAACAAAGAATGAATCGATATGTTTTTCTTTATACATGAATATTGCCCATTAAGTGATTTTCTCATCTACTATTGCCTGGGCAATTACGGAGATCTCAATGCTTCGCCATTTTCGTCTGCAGACGTCAAAAGGACAGACGGTCCGCCATGGCCGAGGGTGCCCCGTGCACACCAGCTCTATGGATCACCCGCCCGGGCCCAACCACCATGCAGCGCCCAACCCTGAGGCCACCTTGCAGGCCTTTGCCGCATTGACCCGTGAGGGATCTGTAATTACATGGGGCAGTCCGATTGGCGGTGGTGACAGCAGTGGAGTTCAAGACCAACTCTTTGATGTCACAGAGAGCTTTGGAGACGTGTTGGACTTTTTGTTGGGGGTGAGTCACTTCAAGAGGATGTTGATCCCAGAAAGAAGTGACCTGTCCTCTGTTAGGAACTCCGGCATTTGCTTTCTGAGGGTCTTTTTGAAGGTCAAGAGTGACGAGTTGGACCTAAGCAAGGGGCAAATCATCGCAGTTTTATAGTTTGTAGTCCTAGTACTGTACTATGTTGTTAGATCTAAGATGATCTGATCATGTGACACAATAGACATGTTTGATTGGGGTTGTGGAGTTCTGGTGTTCATTGAACTCCTCCAAACTACCCCCTCTCAGGATCCAGTCCACACGGAATGCCTTCGCTGCAATCAGATCAGACGGATCTGTGATTACATGGGGCAGCTCAACAGGTGGTGGTGATAGCACTGCAGTTCAAGATCAGCTTCGTCAAGTGTATCGGATCCAGTCCACCCAGAAGGCTTTTGCTGCACTCACCAAAGATGGAGAAGTAGTCACCTGGGGCAGTCCGTGCAGCGGTGGTGACAGTCTACGGCTTCGAGGCACCGGTTCAGTGTTTAAAAGTACTCCGCCCTTCAGTTGCCTCTAGAGCATGGAGCTACTTCATGAGTCCTGCTTTGAAACGATCGATGGATATCGATGGTTACTTCCAAAGACAAAGCACCGCACTGACCAACACAATTGGTGGAAGCTGAGTTCTACGTCCGTAGGGTGATGATTTCATCACCGATTTGGGTGTTGGAGGCCGATGTTTGGGACTGATGTTTCTTTCCATCTTCTGTCCGAAACGCGAGCACCGAGGCCGACTGGATCATGTGGTGGATATCCAAGCCACCAAGAAGTCCTTTGCTGCGATCAAAGACGATGGAACTGTGCAGACCTGGGGCCACCTTGCTGATGACGTCGAAGTGAAGGAGACCGTATACCCACTCATCACGACACCCGACCCGACTTGCCTGAAGGTGACCTTGTTTGGACATGGGAACCTGCAAAGAATTGTATGTGTTCAAGTTTGATCTAGAATCTATAGGCCACTGACTAGCAAGTCCAATATCATTGTATTCCCAGAAACCACAACACAGTGGCCTCAAACATGGAGTGGTTTTAGCCATGGTGCTTGCCTGACATTCACAGAAAATAAGACATGACATTCACGGTGCTGGCCTGAATCTTGTGGTTGTACAACTTAGCAGATCATTGAGCTGGGTGGTTAAACTTTGGACCCCTCTACCATGTAACAGTCAACCCTTCTCTCCAACAACCATCCGAACATGGCGGTGCTGGCCAGGGTGGATTCCGAAGGTCTCGGTCTCGCCGATGAGTTCCTCGGTCGCCCCTGCCAGGACGTTCAACAGATTTACAGCACTGCCTCAGCCTTCCTGGCGCTGCAGTCGGATGGGAGGCTGGTGACCTGGGGCGTCCAAGAGTTCTTTTTAACCATGTGAGTGCAGCGAAGCTCCTCAGCGGAGTGGCGGTTTCATGCGTTTGACTGATGTGGCCAGGCAAAGCGGGAGTGTGACAGGGAGGTCCCAACGCATGTGACAGGGAAGAACACTCAAGTATAATCCAGTAGTAGACTCGATTATGGTCGATTGCCTGAACATGTTTGGACACCACACATGACATGTCCCTTTGTTGAACATATCCCAGACCATCCATGTATACACTGAACCCAAGCCTGAAACCACCACTTCAATGTATATGCCATACATGGAGTATTTGGGTATTGTACTTGTTCTTCATATCTCGTTCTTGGAGTCACCGAAGGACCTCCTTTCGAGTCATCTGGCCAAGTCCCCCCCGGCATCGCCCGGATGTTCGTCTATAACAATCATCACTCTTGAGGCTTCTTGCGCACAGTTGATCGAGGATGTAAACAGGTCCTGTATATGGGTATATAATTGTATATTATCAGGTTTATAGTATTGATTGTATATACACACACACACGTATTCTGAACGTTTCTTTTAAGATGGAATAGTGATGCCCAAGAGGGGCTTTGTGGCCTGTCTCGAAGCACAAGATGTGCGAAACACCGCACCGTTTGAACCGTGCCTGTCACGCAAAAGGGGGTGGCATTTGCCGGGTGTGGGGTTTGGAAATGGACGAGTCCAGTCACAATGCCGAACTGCTGGAAAGAGGCTGCAAAACAAGTCAACCATTCTCTCGGCGGAGAATGATTGATTGAAGTTGTTCTCAGTATTTTGCCATATTTTGCTCATTCCAACCCAGGTTTGCCCAGGTTTCTTGAGCCCAGAGCACACGGATTTCCCGTTCGGCCGGGCTGCTCCAAGTTTGCTTTTGCATGCCGGAAAAAAACACCCAACATGTATTGGAAACATTTGCAACACCTTTCGATCTATTTGGGGATCACTATACTCTGCACCGTGACCTATGCTTTTAGCTAGTCATGGGCCACAGATGGCCATGGGCCATAGCTACTGACTGGCCCAGCCAGTCATGCTTGTTTTGGCAGGGGAAGTGATGAAGATGCAGCCTAGCGTCCAGCTTCTTAAGTCTTATGGCCCATTGTAGTTGCGATGATTTGTTCGTTGTTTGTTCTGGTGCTGTGACCTCTAGCTGAGTCACTAGGGCTGCTCCACCAGGATCCAACAAGAGTAGCCTGCCAATAACCGGGCATCCCCTTGTGGAGGTGAATTCAACCTGTTTGTTTTAATACTTCCCCTCAAAAACCTGGCAGGAGCACTAAGTGCACTAGAAATCATTCTGCACAGAAGGAGTACAGCGCAAACTTTTCACGTTTCATCCTAACCCTTTCTTCAATTGATGACCCTTCAATAGGAGACCCAAGAACAAGCAGACGCATTGCGGAGAAGTGTATTAATTTGTTGGTCAGGAACGGATTGGTCAATTACCTATACCCTTGGTCCGGACACTGACGATCCTTGCCTGGAGCTCATTTGCACGCACAACATATTTCTGTTTATGCCAAGGCGTACCACTTCCAACGAAGCCAATTCTGGGGCAGGACTCCCAAGCTTGACGAACTCAGATCTCTTTGGTCATCGTTGGCCCTGTCAATGCGTGACCGGACATGGCGATTCTCAAAAGAGACCTTGGCTATTCTCAAACAAAAGCAAACATGTTTTAAGTTTTATCATACACGATCAAACAAAGAGACCTTGGCTATATATATTCTAAGAAGTCCAATCCAAAGACTATTTTCGGCACCACCCAAGTACAGGAAGTTCCTTTTTGGATCACCTAAAGACCGTTTTAAAGATGGTCTTGGACTCCCAAGGTAAATATAATTGGCATTCATTGGCTAACATTTTCATGACATTGTTCCATTGAGGTTGGGAGATTAGTGGGCGCAAAATCGAAGAGGCTCATGCACCGCGCCGGTCCGTGCACCGCGTGCGCTGGTCGTTGTGGACGCTCACGCGCTCGGAGGTGCTCAGTGGCCAGGAAATGCAGTGATCCTAATGCAGTCCGGGTGGATTGAAGGTCGAGTTTCCTATAGTTGAGGTCAAACCTACATTGTCCAGGAGTCCATGATGTCCATGGTGGTAATCTATGTAACAATTTCATGGATGAATATGGATTGTCATGCATTTGAAGCTCATGAAGTGCTGAGGAATAGCCTCACATGTCAAACACCTGCTGCTTCGGGACGGAGCAGAGGGGTGTTTCTTCCTTCCCGAGGTTTCTCAGTACAGGTGGATCTTTGTCGTACCATCCCTCTACAAAACGTTTGGTCCTGTTTGGTATAGCTAGCCCGCCTTTGGCTGAAGAAGTTTCGCTGCACACCGACGTCTCAGGACGGTCTCAGGTCGTTTGGGAGGTTCTTTTGAGAACGTGAACGTTTCATGTCATGTGGCCAAAAAGACCATACAATGGAGTTTGCTACATGCACCCCATCCAGGATCCAGGCTGATTATGGCTGATGAATACGGACATTCACTGGGCATGTTCGTACTCTTGAAGGGGTCAAAATCTGTGCATTTGTCCCACTTCAATCTTAAGGAGCGCAGGACTCAGGACTGGGTAGTGTTTGGACTTGTAGTATTCACTGGGCCCAGGCCCAGTCTGCCAAAGTTGAGCAGTTTTGGTGGGTTGAGGTCGGTCTTGTTGCAAAAACATTCACTGGGCTCCTGTGACTAGGATTTGCATCAGTATCGTACACAAAGCTAGCGTATCACATTGACGTCTCTTTGACCGCGCTATAAATACTCTAACATCATGTTGTTGTATGCATCGTTCACATACATTGGTCACCGGTGAGTTCTTGGGCCGGTCACCCATGAGTTGGCCCGGTCACCCGTGTCTGGGGCGCTCTTCAGCGCGCCGATCGACAGGCCTTTTGCATTCAGCGGGTCGAGCTGATCAACGCCTGGTGCTCAGTGGCTCCATGGTGGAGCCGGTGCCGAGCAAGAGAGCCGCGCGCTCTTCGAAGAACGAACAGAAGAGTGGTCGACGTTGTTCGCCTCCGGAGAACGTGAAGAGACATAGATAAACAGCTTCGACAGAGGCTGGGACTGAGGGGACTGAGGGATCGATGATGATTAGTCCGGAAAAGCGGATGTGGCACTGTGGGTGGAGAAATTTGAAACAAAATGTCCTGGCAGGAGGTGTTCAGGCGATTCAATTGTGTTCAAGGGTAGCGGGTAGCATTTCACAAGGAATCCCTGAGTCAGGAATTTTGAAATGTTTATGCCAGCGGTGGGAGCAACTAGGCTATTGCTCGCGCGCGGCTCCCATGGCTGAACGCACCAGGTAGGTGGGGGAGGGGGGTTTGTCCATCAACGTCGCGACATTACAAGAATGGTCAAAGTCAGAGTTGAACTATAGCAAGATAATATGGTAAATGTAGTTTATTGATATTAATTGGTTCCACCAAATCATGGCCGTATTGGTTTCTTTTTTACAATCAAACAACATGCTACACCGCACCTGAGAATTGTGAACTGTTCTACGCGTAGTGTTTGTACACAAGTTCAGGTTGTCAAGTGGTGCAGAAACATTCACAGCTCCCCCACACACTTTCGAGGCTTCCGTGTTTGGAGCTTCTTTCATTCCGACACTGACCACTGAGACCACTGACCCACCAGGTTCAGAGTCTCCTTTTTTCGACCCGGCCCGCTCCTCGCGGGCGACCGGAGAACGACCCAGGACTTCGTGGCGCAGGGCTATGGAATCCTCACATTGAACCCCAAGAAGGACCGAACCCTGTCGGTTTGTTTGTGGGCCGCTTAAACGGGCGGGATAGTTGGCCACTTTGGGGAGCTTCACGGGCAAACTTGGCGCACCTGTTTTCGCGGGAGACGGGGGAGTTCAAGTGAAGTTGTAGTTCCGCGAAAGAAGCAGTTGAAAAGCTTCTAGCTCAGGATGTCATTCTGTTTTCTGGTTTTTGTACTTGAGCCATCAAGTGGTGGCTGAAGGTCACTCAGGGCAGCATTTGCCTACGTGCATGCCACTTGCATTCTGCCTTTAAGGATCATTTCCTTGAAGTAAAATGCCATCAAGTTCCCATGTATTTACTATTTATATGTATACAGTATATAAGCAGATTTGTATCTTGGGTGAAGTCATTCCAGATCAACGAAACCAGCTTGAACTCATCAATGTCAGAGTGTCACACCAAGCAGCCAGGCTTTTCTGAAAGATTTGTATATTTGGGTGTGTACTAGAATAGGGAGACTCCCAAAAGACTTCTGGGACCTGAGAATCTCAACGAAATCAATTGGTTGGAGGTGCCCCCATTCAAATACAAACCCATTTGCATTCTGCCGTTCAGGACTGTGAGATCTTGCAAGACGCACCCATTAAGGCCCGGAATCCGCTGCGTTTGCCGTCGCTTTCAGTGGATTTCTGAGCTGTCCTGCTGTAGTACAAATGTGAAGGTTGGGGGGTCAAAAGGTTGAAATGCCTAGACACCGGTCAAGCTAATATGGACCAGGGCTCGGGTTTGAGGGAACCTGACCCATCTTGAGGTGAAGATTTGGGTGATCCGCTGTACACCAGCAAGCATCGATGACGGGGAGCCGCCCAAAGGAAGTGGGGAGGAAGGCCAATAGGCAGCCCAAAGGCACGACTCGTGCGTTTGAACAACGAATTATTGTGGATCACATCCCACTAGTTGGGGAATGGTTTTTCTCCAGGTGCTGTAGGATTTCTTCCTTCAACTATCGGTTTGCAGCGGGAACCGCTCTGTTTGAGTGAATCGATTTGGATCTTCCATCACTGCATGACTGGTGAAGACGTGAACATCCCACCCAAACACTTTCAACTCCCAAGCCCCTAGTTGTTGAGGCCAATGGTGTAATTTGTAGGGAAATTCCAGAAACACGACAACAAAGGAATTCAATGTAGGTCCATTGACTCAGTCTCCCACCAACTGATCCAACTGCTTCCCTGTGTAATTCAGACTCACCAAAGTTCAGCTCTTGTGTCCCATACGCTAGTCATTCCCTTGGTGTTTGGTTGTTTGAACCCCTAGGAACACCGAGGCTTTTCCATGTTTTTGGGTCGTTCGCACTCCGCTCAGCACGGCGCGCCCATCGCGGTCATTGGCGCCGGCACTGGGCTCGGTCCGGTAGCCGAGAGCGCCGTGGAGCGTGGAGGCCTTGGGGAGGAGCTCGAAATAGAGCGGTGCCACTTGACATGGGAATGTTCGGCCTTTTCCTCGACTCGTTTCAATGTGCCGATTGATCGTTATAGTTTGCCGAAAACCATGGGTTGGCCGGTTGGAGCCAACGTTGCCGAAGACAATGCTGTTTTGCATCATTTGAGTTTTGTGCGGGAGCGCGTGCTTGACCGCCGCTATCGTTCACACTAAGGAAACGCTTTGGCGTTCAGAACTTGCGTTTCAAAAACTTGTGTTCTGAACGCAGCGGGCCGTTTGACCTTGTACGTTCCACCACCCATGACAAAGTCGGCTCTGCCTCCCAGTGATAATTGCTGACCGGCACCAAGGCGTGTTAAATCCCAGATTCCGTTTTCACCCCTGGAAAAATGGATTCCAAGACTTTGGGACCACTCTGCCAATCCTTTTTCCAAGGGATTGAAAAGGAACCTATTGGACCTTGCTCCATCCTTTTTCCAAATATTTCCAAATACTTAGAAAAATGCCCAGATGATAGCCCCTGTGCGTTCAGGACTCACGTTGAGAACGCGGCGTTTTGCGTTCGGCGGGCGCAATATTCTAAGTTCAATATTCGCCCTCCACCTTAAAGTCCGAGGGTACGTCCGGGTGTGGAGTCAAATCATATTTTTCATGGGTGTAAGTCATATCTTTTTGACGAGTCTTGGAGGTTTCCTCTGTGTTCATGTTTTAGGTGAAGGGCCACAACAAGTTCACAAGGACTTCCATAATCAGCAGACCAAGTTCACAATCAGACTCCAACGGTCCCATTCTATTCCTTTGCCTTTGACAGATTTAGGACTAGACTATCGGTGGCTGAAAGACGACACCCGTAGTTTAGGGCGTATGAAAAAAACTCGGATCATGGTGCATCTGGTGCAACCGCAACCACAATGGTTCCACCATAGTTCCACCATGGCTCCACTGCACTGTACTTTGGGGTGCCATGCATCGCGCCGCAAGCAGCAATATTTGTTTGTCGGGTGGAATGGCTGCAATTGCGGCCCAGGTCTCAGTGGGATTTGGGTTTCACCCAGCTTTGTGAAGAGGAGATCCCGATGTCCTCTACCATCCCACCATTCAACAAACACGAGATTGGATCCCCCTGTTGGTGCTTGGGAAGGCTATTCGACGCGGGCCCGCTTTTTCATGGCGTGTATTCCACAGGGGGCTGGTTGAAGAAGCATGACCGTCCCAGGTTTGGGTGACTGGTGGATAGGTTGGTTGCGTTGCTTGGATGGTCATTGTCGCAAGTCGCACATGAGTTGCATGACCCTTTGAAGCTCCGATCGGACCGAGGCGAAGCCTTTTTGACGGTCGGTGCCCAGGGGGATTACGAGGCCGGGGGGAGATTGGAGTTCTGAGTGAGCCGAGTGAGGCTGTTTCTTGCCCGTTGTATTGGGCATATCTATTTTTGCATGTCATTTTTCTTTTATTGTACCAATTGCGTTGATTCAGGTTCTATGGCAGCACGCCTGAAACTCTAGTAGGATTAGGATTCGTTTTCGATGGCTGACTTCGTTTTGATCCAGTGGAGATCCACATCGATAAATTGGATTCTGATGAATAATATGCGAGGTTTTTTTAATGCTTGAGGTGCCTCAAGCATTTCCAGGACTATACATGAAGTTCCTCGCTTGCACGAAAACCTTCTCAGTAGGGGGTATGAGGATACAGCTGCAACCTGTACACTAGGTCACTACGCTTTGCATCGAGCCCCTTGAAGGGAATTCTTTTTTTGCGCATGGTCACCGTGTATGGTGTCGCGTGTGGACAGGGCAATCCTGAAGAGTGAAAACGATTGTGTTGCTGGAGCTCGCTTTGACCCACTCATGGTTGAGTGCTGCAACAAGTGGTTGGGTGACTCACGATGAGCACACATCTGACGAATGCTGCCGGCATCCATGGTCACTGGGACCTGAACAGGTCAGATGACTCGGCCCGTTGGCACGCACCATCCTTGCAATTCACCACAGCATTGCGTACTACCAGTGATGACTGGAGACGAGTGGAAGGATTCGGACAACTTCATTGCGGTGGCCCGTTGGCACGTGTTGACGATGTGTCATTTTGTCCTCCTGAGTAACCATGCATCTATTGGAAAGGCTTTGTGACTGGAGTGCCACGGATTGACTCCGAACATGCTTTGAAGACGAGCAGCTTTTGGATTTGATTGCAGAAGCCAGACGGCATTTGCATTCAGGATCACAAAAGCGCTTTCACTGCTGGAGTGAACCACTGGATTGCAGGCTTCTATTATGCAGACTCCGTGTCCGTGAAGTGTTTTTGCATGGACTCTTCTTAGATCTTTTCTTCCAACGATTGGAAATTGCCAGAAGACCTGGAAGACCTTTTCACCTTCCTAGAGACGCAAGAACCCCCCAAACAAGACATACCCTGAAAATACACAAGGCTTTCCATCAGACACGACAAATTTGGCTTCCATAGGTTGGAGGAAGAGGAACCCGGGCAACAGTTCGGTGGCTGGGGAGCCCCATTTGCACGTGCTTTCCAACTAAGAAAAGAAGATACTAGCATTGAATGGATAGTTGACCACCTGGAGCAATACAGAAATCTCGAGAGAAGAGAATCACGTCAGAGAAGTAGACAGACTCACAGCACCTGATTTTCATGCTCAGCTTGGAGAAGAGAGAGCACGAGAAGAAGATGCCTGCTTGTCTAACTATGGATCCACGCTTTTCTTTGTTCCTTGGATAGGTGCTACTGCTCGCCTTTCGATGACAAGGTGTTGCTTCCCGAGGATCTTTTCAGTATGTTCTTCTCGTCAACCTGCCGAGTGACCGGGATCGAAGCGAAAACCACCTGGTGGGCGGAGACCACCTGGGTCCGCTGACCGCACTCTCGGACCACAGCGACACTCCGAGTAACACGGGCCAACAGTGACACGGCATGGCATGACTCCGAGTACGGACGATGAATGTGCATACGTGCAATACGTGCCGAGTCCAGGAGGTGGCAGCAGCAGTCACATTGAGTGTATGAGAAATGTTCGTATGTGGTTTTCCACTGAATCAGGTGGTGTTTCTCCCGGGATTATGTCAATAACTTGTAGATCCCGGTTGAAAGTATGTCGAACCTTCCAGCTGGTCTTCCCGCTCACTCCAGGTGTGGCCCTCGGAGGGTGGCCATGCAGAGTATGCCCCACGACAGGCCGGACGAAAGTGTATACGTTCACGTGGGCTCTGAAGTAAGCTGGTTATAGCATGTTATAGCTGGTTTAGTAGTCGAAGTGGTGTAGAACACAGACTCGGTGATGTGACTGAGACTTTTTTTTTGTGAGGATTTTGAGTTGATTCATGCATTGGGTATGAGGCTGCGGCTAGAGTCGCTTGTGAGAGGATTCAATCTCGAGGGACACCTATTGGTCTATGGTCGATTGAAAGATGTTTGTCATTCGAGTGATTTCCACCGCCATGAGACATTGGGTTGTGAGAGTTGTTTTACACTCTCACATCACATGGAAGTGGAAAATGATCCATCAAAAGACTACTTTTCTTTAGGTACTTTAGGAATAATTAGGAAGCTTTCTACGCCCATGTGATGTGTTTGTCGGAGTGTATTCCTTTTTGACTGGAGGACTTTCATCCAACCAATAGGGAACTGAGTACCATTCCTCGACGCAAACTTGAAACTCAGAGGAAAACAGATGTACTAGAGCTGATGGCTACAAGTTACTGCAATCCCTGATCAGCCTGGCCCGGCGACCCAGCGTCGCCTGTCACAGAGGGTCCCTTCAACAGCTTCTGATTTGGTGCACTTTGAACCCAGAAAATTGTCCAAGTCAAGAATGCCAGCTGCTGGAGCTAGGAATTTGATCAGAACACAGCTAGTGTCATGCTGGGGGAAATCTTAATAGAAGAGAAGTTTAGTTATGTTTAGCTATAGTAGGAAATAGTAATTACAATCAAGGAAGTTTGGAAATTGGTACGTAATTGTCAATTAGTAATATATTTCGATTGATTATTACAGAAGGGAAGTATATACTCGCAAGACTTCCCAAGGCTTGGAGTTGACAGAGCAGTCCAGGTATTTCGGCTGTCCGGCACAGGAGGGGAGCAAGTCCTTGGAAACGGAGCTCCTCCAATACTTGACCATCAAGTACAGTGAGAAGGTTGGTGATTGATTGATTTGTCAATGGATGGGTCATTCGAAGGGTGGTCGATTGATTTGTCCATTGCTGGCCTATTGGGGTCAAGACAAAACATGATGAAAGGCCGAAGGCGAAAGCGTTGGGATGAACATTGTTGTTTTGGAATTCTTCATGTTTCTTCATGGGACCGGAAAGCCAACCTTCAACTTGGAGATCAGCTGGTGCCTTTGAGGTCAAGGACTGCATTTACTCAAGAGTCTACATTAGGCTTACTTTTGTCATTGCGGCCCTGTCCTGCCTTCTTTTGACACAGAACCGCCTTTTTCGAGTCTTCGACCCGCAGACTCTTGTTGGCGGGTCGAGGCTCAGCCTCGCCGTTTGAGTCACAAGGGAGACGGGCAAAGTGTTCTGAAACTCTTTTTCACTAGGCCTTCTGAAACTCACGCGGATGGAACCCACAAATCTGACCTGCGCAGCTCCCGGCTCTCATCAGAGCTGGAGACGCTGGATGAGACCTGTGGATATGACGGGGAGTTGCGGAGAAAGAAGCCTTCAGGTCTTCAACGCCCCTCAAACAGGTGACAAAAGGTTGGTCTTGGGTGCTCGAGTCCAATAGACGGAGGGGGACAAGTGAAAATTTGGATTCGGGGAGATTCTGCTGTGGAATGAAATAGCTGCATGTTGGTACTACGTTGATATTTGTTCTCAAGCCATGTCATTGATATGCTTGAGATGACTTCTCAACTTGCTGTTCTTTGCAAGAAAGTGAGGTACATATTTTGCAAAAAAAACATGGAACATGCGATGGAGAGGTCTTGTTCTCTTGTGAACATACGATGCGTTGCAAGTTGAACATGACAAAGTAAACCACGACGAGTTTACAGTTCAGCCAGGCACTGGGTACCGCAGAAGTACCGACCAGGTGTCTTAGCACTGTAGCAACAACCCCTCGAGCTTCGTGCACTCAAGAATGGCTTCAATCCGTAGACTGAACAAGAGACTGTGATTGAACATACAAGTAGATTGCTGATGCCATCATTTAAGTCTTTTGATGGCATCATCTCCACCACACGCATCAGCACCGGTGAGTTGTGTCCTCGCTCCGCCGGCCAGTCACGTGTGAGTGTGGAGCGCGTGGCCGCTGGCCGAGGCACGAGGAAGAGATAGGGGAGCGCCAAACCACATGGTATAGTAACAGCACATACGCAAATAGAGTGGGGTGTAAAAAGAAGTTAAGAAGTGCAGTGATAGACTAATAAATGCACCACAATATTGGAAAAGAGAGGTGGGAAAGGGTATAATATAAACATCGATTGTGACACTTCGAGAAGTATTTGCTCATTTCTCATACAACTCAATTATGTGGGAGATGCCTCAAACGGGTTGCATGTATGTATGGACAATTGTGCTACTAGCACTCCATGGCACTGGTATATTTAACTGCAGATAAATTGGGGTGGTTTGAGAGGTCAATGTAGGCACATATGACAGACATGGAGTGTTTGAGACATGAAGTGTTAGGGATAGGGAGACACCCTGTGTTTACATGATTCTGAAGGTCTTTCGCTACGGGGGACAAGAACTGGCCTTCAATGTGAGGGGGGTTCTTGGTCCAACTGTTTCGCTGGAGCTTTTTGGATGTAGAAGACTCCCATGATGACATGGGTTGTCTCCTCACTTTGAGAACCTGGTTCTGGCTGAAGGCAAGCGGGTTTATGTGTGACGTTCTTTTGCCTCCATTGCTTAACCATGACAGTGACAGGTACATTTTGGCCACTGCATAAGGGCAAGGGTCTCACATCATCATGAAGGCCCAGTTCGTGGGCAAGCTGGGGGCAAGCTGGGGCACTACAATGAGCTTGACCCGGCAAACTTGCATGGAGTTGAAATTCTTAAATTGGCCTGTCGGAGGTTCCAGCTGATTGTCACAGTGAGAGGGGCCCCTGGAGGAGGAGCCGCCCAACAAGTCGAGATTGGAGTATTATCCAAGTTGTGGATCACTTGTGAAGGACACGGCAATCGATTGCGGCGATTGAATGCCTCGATGGCGATCGAGTTGTCGTCAGGTTGCCGACCATGCCAAATGTTGGGCCGAGCTGACGGTCCACTGGGAGATCATTCACATTGTGAGTGCGACCCATCGCGCTGCAAACTGGACTTTGGACAGATGGAAGAAAACCGTAGAGGCAGAGGCGCAGCTCGCTGAGTTCTGTTGGCTCAGAGTTTTGTTTTGCTGAGTTCTGTGTTCCTGCCTCTTTGTGCTTGCTTAAAAGTCCAGATCATCAACAAGGAGTCGCAGGGTGGTGGAGCGTTCACGTTTTGCCAAATATTGTCGCGTGGCATGATTGGCATGAAGTATTTGTATCATCACCACAGGCCCATTCAGAGGACATGAGGACATGCTGAAGACCAACAAGACAGCGGCTGTTCCATTTTTCTTGTGGCCATCCTAGAAGTCATGTTCATCGGTCCGGCTCCCTGAATCAGAGAGACATCAAGGCGAGACATCCCACGCGGTCTTTTTCCGAGAGCTCCTTCATGTCATGGGCTGGGCACCTTCAGGTGCCCATTCCACCGGTGGCTTCGTCACCGACGGGCTCCGTTCACCGGAAGCATTGCACGGCAGAAACCGAAGCTAGCGCCGCGTGGGATGTCTTTCAGGCCGGAAAGCATGCACAGAAGCAGTGTCAAGACAAGAGTTGAACAGATAGTTCAGAAGCATGTTGAAGCTGTACATCGTCGGAAAATGAGTCTTCTGAAGCGGCCGGACTAGCACACTTGGCAACATGGCAAGATTCAAAGGAGCCAAAGACTCCCAGGGAGTATATGAAGATCTTCGACACTTCGTCCAAAAAACCGCTGGCATTTGGCACCCATAAGCACAATCCAATTCGACTGGCACCGTTTCGGTCAAACAATCATGCTTAACCACCCATGCACAACATTTGATGTTTGCAGTGGACGTCTCATTGCCAGCAATCCCTACAAGGCCCCTTTTTCAATTCGACGTTTTGGTTTTCATATGGTGGCAAAACAAACTCACAAACTCGTATCCGTCTCCCAAGTCTCTATGCTGGGTCTTGGCATAGCCGCTACTTCGCGAGCTCCGAGCATCTACGAGGCATCGCAAACATCTATGAGTTCTTATCCTGGAAATATCCTGAGAAGGCGCAGAATATTGGGTGGTGGTGCGGAGTATAGTTATGTCATGTTGCTTTATATATAGTTCCTAATTTTAGCTGTCCTTGATTGACAAATACTCGTGGGGAGTGGTTCCGGCGCTGCACCTTGGGCGCAGTTACGCAGGGTGAAAGGAAGGCAGTTTGACACTGACACGTTTCATGCCAACAGTGACTGTATATTGATTTGATCTTACTGTATTTGCAAAATTAACTTGTTTAATGTGGGATGACTGTGGGGCAGTGGAGTTCTTTTGGAATGCTGACAATTCAGCCATGAAAATTAGGTTTTATCAGGCTGTTATTTTGCCTGAAAAGGTTCTTCTTCCCCCGTGGTTCCCTGATGGTTCTTCATCGTGAGGTCTTCAAGTTGTGTCCGTCCTGGAAAACCATTTGGAGGGATTACCCACGTAGCCCGTCCTGGAAAACCATTTGGAGGGATTACCCACGTAGCCCACCGGCCAAAGTTTGTTTCGTTGGGGGGATGTTGTTTTTCAAGATGGAGAGGTGAAAAAGAAGAACACCATACTGAGGGTGTCAAGTGAGCGTGCATCCTTATTGCCCAAGGACAGTTAACTGATGTTAACTGCGAGGCTTCAGGACTGTTTGCCTTCATTCAAGAACAACGAATCGGAAGCTCTTCCAGTGCCCCATGTTCGTGATCGGCGCACAGGAACCCCAGCAGACAACTACAGAGACGTAGCAAGACCCTCGATGCAACGTTTCAAACAGCTGATGTATTTACAAAAGGGGTTGGCTTTGGTGAGTTCTCGAATGTAATTCTACGAATATGTCAGATTTTTGGCGCATCAGGAGAGCTGGCTGGCTTGGAGAGAAGGGAACGTCAACCTGCTGGCAATGTGCAGCAAGCAGCGGGTGTTTCTTTTTAACAAAAGGCAAGTGACAATACCTATATATAGGCAATAGGGTTGCATTTGATCTTTGGGGTCTTGGGGGTATGGTTACTATCCATCAGATCATCAGTCAGACGCAGACACCGGATGCGTGTCCGCAAGGGACGCATCCGTCAGACGCATTTGTTGGACAGATTCACAGGAGCATGTGGTTGGGGCCTATGTCGAGTTACACCGAGAAAGCAGGCTCCAGAAACACACTGCAAAATCACCGATGCTGCAGAAGAGCACCACAGACCTTGCAAATGCAGATGTCTCCAGGTTGTAATGTAGACGGCTGGTTGATTTCAACCAAAAAAAACACAACAGATGGAGATGCAGAACCAAATTTGGTGGTCTACATTCCTGACTCTTGATATGTCAACCCCAAGCCTGAAGAGTTTGATCCAAATGGTGGAACAAGTGGGGGGAACATATCAAGATGAACAACGGTTTAGGGGGGGGAACAACAACGTTTATTGTTTTCTCCGCCTTTCCGCTCTCTAGTGCTTCGACGGAAGCCGTGGCGATTCCCAGCTCCCACGCAGGTGAACAGGGCCGTGCATCGGAGCTTCATTGGGCCGATCGAGGGGCCCAGGCGGGCGGGTCGGAAGAGGTGTCTGTCGGATGTTAGATTGGATGGTAGAAATTACTAAATCAAATATACAAGATATACCAGGACCTTCAAAGTGACCTTTTGAGATGCCAGAATGAGGTCACTTAGTCCCTAAAGAGGTCACTTAGAGACTCGAAGGAGGTCACTTTTGAAGGGCCTGGTATATATAATATACATATATAGTCATATAAGTCATATAAGTAGTCATATAGTAAAGTATGGTATGTTCACTTTGATTGGCATGTCTCGCAAACTAGAGACAGGTGAGTATAGAACTGGACAGCCGGACAGCCCATCGAAAGACCGATGGAAGAGTGGACAAAATGGATGGCCTAACCCTGGGAGTAAATGAAAAATCCTCGATGTTCAGGTCTGAAGATTCCTGGTGATTCCTTGTTCCTGGCCACACTGCGGTGGTATGAGTTGTGGTATGATTAGGCATGTGTTTGGTTGCAGTGTGGGCTGAAGGAGTCCGTACCGATCAACTCAGGTCCAATCGGAGTCGGAGAGTGGAGATTCGGATTCAGTGCAGCCCAGGACCTTCGACCCTGCGGCCATTACCAAAGCAGCTTCTGCAGGTGAGGATGATGGTGCATGCGCATGGGGAGGGCGTGCCCTGTCTTGGGCACGGTCGTGGTCTCTCACATGTCTCCAGCCATTCGGAACCAGTTACAGTGACCTGCAGAACTCTTGGTGAACTATGCCAAAACCCAGGCAAAGCCTGATAAACAAAAACCCTTTTGGGAAATGAACCGTTGGAGTCTTGAGGGGGGGTACAGTAGAATGTGGACATGCAGTATATGGAAGCATGCATTCATCAGTAATGTTGGAGACTGAGAGCTCGATCTTTGGATGCAGATCAGATTATTGAGGCAGGTCTTGAGTTGTGTGTGTTCTTTTTTTTTCTCAGCGTGTTGACACAGCGAGGGTGGGGAGGGTCTGCAGGGCCTGATACAAAAGGAGATTGAATGCCGCATGTGGTGGATCTTCATATCTTCTCAATCCAAGAACACATCAACTGAATCTAGGCAATGTGTTGAAGCACCTTGCCACCAATGAACTCGGTGCAACTTGTACGTTTGATTTGTTGTTGATTCGCTCAACTCACTGAAGGGTCTCAAAGAAATCAGGTCAGGTTGGATTTTTAATGTTTTTTTTTTTCATAGTTCAAAGCCTCAAACAAGGTTTCCTGTCTCGGCATTCGTGATGCAACCAAACTGGCAGGTCCCAGCTTGAGTCTGATGACCCCTATACATGGCTGGGGCATAGCTGCTTGCGCTCGATTGGTTTCAATTCTATGCTGAAACGAACCCTGCGTAGAAGAGATCCCCAACCTTTGGGAGCAGACAAGCTGACCCCCGTTGTCTTGCGTTGGTTTTCGTGCCTGTGGTTGTTTTGGTGTGGAAGATCCTTCTTTAGTCGCTTGCAGTCCCAAGTCAGCACACCTTCGGCAACAGGGACTTGCTTTCCAAGGGTTATAAGTTCAAGGGCTCTTCATCCAAGATCTCAATCATGTTTGAATTCACTATATATATATATATTTATATATAAACGCTCCCAGGCTCACAATGCCGCTCCAAGTATACGCCAACGGCACCTCTTCGGAATTCACTTCGAAACAGATCCTGTGAGACAGCGTCGACCCAGGACCGTTCGGACTCTTCGGAGACTCCTCAGGTTAGGCGATGTGACAGCTCGGTGGGTGACTGGATAGCTCGGTCGCCCGGTCGCCGGTGGATCGGACGCTTAGCGTCTGGATGCGTTGGACCATGGGGGGGTTCCACCCCACCGTCCGGCGAAACGTCGAAACGCGCCCCCTACAAAGCAGGCATTTGCGAGCTCAGCAAACAGACGGTGGACATTTGGGCCGGTGCCTATGGATCGGAGGTGGGATGCTGGTTGAGGTGGGATGAAGGGTTGGATGGGTGATGTGTGTGTGATCCATGGTGGTTTGCTACACTCCGACTTCGCCTCACGTTCCAGGGAAAGTGTTCCACTTCCATATGGAACATGAGTCGGAGTGTAACAACTGTGCTGGAAGTCTGGAATTGTTGTTGAAATGTGGTGTGACAAAACGGATCTAATCATGGTGTTGGTTGATGCTTTTGAGGATGACGAAGGTTGATTGGGCAGCGATCAACAAGCTACATGACCCTCGACTGGCCCAGACCACTTGGTTGCGCGTCGGGTTTGCAGTGCTCAGATGCCCCCGGCGAGCAATTTTTTCATCACCATGCTTCAGTGCTTTCCTGTCTTGAACTGCGACAAAGATTGTTTCAACAAAAGTTAAGCTCAGGAAGGGTCAAAGTGTCCATCAGGGAGGGTCGAAGTGTCCATCATCCTATCCTGAGCAAGTGGAGATCGAGTCATCGGCCTCTTGAGATAGATCAAGGGGTCCGCTGAGGTGAGTTTCAATGGCAAAGGCCGGCGAGTTGCCTTTTGAGAGACCCTATTCGGGATAGGCATGAATAGGCCGGACCTAAACAACATGATCTATGGTCCATGAATGTCCATGACATCTATATAAATGATTGAACTTTTAGTTTGTCTTTTGCATTAGACCATTCAGTGGGGTTCAGAGGGGAGTAATTAGATTGAGCAGGATGACGGCTTGACTGTGGAAATATACTGCAGGCGAACTGTGTCACAGGCAGTTTGCATGCTGCACGTGCACGCTTGCAAGTTATCCAGAAGCATTTTGAGGAGGATTCTCATCATCAGTCTGGTGGGTGCCTATCAGAAGTCACTGCTTGCATCAAGGCTATGCCGAGGTCAAAGAAGTCACGAGTGAAGAAGAATGCTGACAGAGTGTTGGCCAAGGCTATGCCACCACCACACCACAAGACTCCAGGGTGTTTAGCCCATCCACTGGAATGCGCGAAGAGATGCGAAGAGATCTTTCGAGGATGAGGTCGTTTTCTCCTTTCTCAAGACACGCGGTTGGCTGGGGAACCAAATGCCGCATATAGGGCACACCACGCAACGATCTCGGGGACACTGCGCACCACGCAACGTCCGATGGGCAGAGATGGCCTGCGGACGTGACCCCAAGAAAGATGCAGCGGCTTCTTGCGTTGTGCGTGGGACCGTGAGGGGTGTGGTGAATAGTAGCGATGCAAGGAGCCGCTAGTAGCATCTTGTTCCTAGTAGCGATGCCAGGAGCCCCTAGTAGCTTCTTGTTCCTAGGAGCTTGAATGATTCAATTTGCAGAGTAAAATTAATAGACAGGTCATTCTACAGGCGGTTGAATCCCCGTGTACGAGCAGACCGTTGTGAAGCTATCTTGCAGATGGGCACATTCAGTGAGAGTGTCCCCACACAAAGAACATGAATGCAGGGTGCGGACTTCTGGAATATGCACCAGTCGTCGAAGGCATTGACTATTTGTACAGCTTGTGGGCAACAGGTGACTACAATTTGATGTATTCGTCAAACCTCCAACGGTCTTTCCCATTGCTTAGCAAGGAATAAGGGAATGGATCCTAAGGAAAGTCTCTCATTCCCTATTTAGCACCAGTAAGTTTCTCGGTCACACTAACCCCGAGAGACCCCGAGCAATCTTCCCATCAACTTTCCTCCGAGTTCTCCTCCAGGCAGGCGTGATGGCCTTGACCTATATGCCCTTCGGAGGAGCGCTTGCGGTTCAACGCCGTGCGCCAGACGGCCAGATTGTAGCAACTGTTATACACCCCGTCAAGGTGACTGTACAAACTATCGCGTTGGTGGAGGGAAGCAATTTTGCGTTCTATTTCTATAGTGTATTCTTTTCTTTCGGGGTATGTAATATATAACTATCACCAGGAGACGAATGGTGGTCCCTGGCAAGCATGGTCTTGTATTAATGAGAACCGGGGCGTCTCGTCCATCGGACGCCTCATCCAACCCAACCGCCTCCACGTTCGTGTGCCCTTCTGATGTGAAGAGAAGTCTGTACGTCAAGAAGCTCGGGTGGAGGAAGATCATCAACCATTAACTCGTCCAAAGTCCAAAGACTTTTCAGGTCACCCAAAACAAAGGGACCATTTCGACGCTAGCTGCCTAGACTCCCAAATAAAAGGTACGTCATGATATGAAAGGTCTTTGTACAATCTATGCAATAAATAAGATGTTCACCCAAAGTCTCCCACATATGGACTAACTCCAATCCCAAGCAGAATCATCCGCCCAAGCAGAAAGCTGCAAGGCCTTTATTTGACCGGCGGTGTGACTTCCAAAATGAAGGCAAAGGGAGGGCCAGGTCCGGGCTGGAGGGAGGTCCCAAACATCGTTGTGTCGCTTTTTTTCGGGTCACCCTGGCAGGGCTATGTTTGTTGGGCAGGGTTTGAGCGTCCAGCGTGCGTCGGATGTTTTGGATCGGGGCTTGGAAGCTCCAGGGATCGAGCAACCAGACACCAGCTGGATGGTTAGATTTTGTTAGAGAGTTTATGGTTGATTGCAGATTGAGTTAGCATTTGGGAAGCTGACTACTCATCATGGGGTGGAGAATTCCCAACTAAGTTGTTCTTGGAATTTCATGGGTAAATTCGGTCAAAAAAGGCATTCAAAAATCATCCCAGCACGCTGGATGCATTTGCCAAACGTGTTTTGTTGACCCATGTGGATTCAAAACTAGGGTTTTGTTTGGTTGGAGGGATTCGTGTCCGGTGTAGGGTGTGTACCAGTCACATCCAGTAACAGTTGGTACAGATGATCACTATTTGGGGGGGAAAGGTCATGAAAGGTCTCTACTTACTAACCATAATCGTATGCTAGTATAGCAGCACCATTGAAAGGCAAGGAATCCAAAGGGTGCTTTTTGGATGAAAACTACCGGGCCGCCAGGGGTGTCTATAAACCGCCCTTTGGGTGGGTGGTACTGGTCATGGGATACATACCCAGGTCCGGCGTTCAGAAGCCAACGCCGACCCACGTATAAGCCTAGTCATTGTCAAGGGAAATTGTGCTGGTGTGCATGCATCAATCCACGCTGGTGCATTCTTGGTGTGAACAACGTATATATATATAAGGGATTACAAGCTATATAGGGTATTAGTATGTCAGTTTTTACTGCTTTCAGCGATGAAGTCATCAGCCGGCAATGAACCCTGACCGATTTGACCAGCTGTTGCCCCTCTCGACAAGAGTTCTCTGCAAGTTCAAACCATCTTTAAAGTAAAGTACCAGGTTGTTACTATTAGAGGGTGAACCTGCTGCTTCAGTGATTCAAGCCTTCCAACATTCCAGGCAATTCTCCTGTCACCGGACCTTGCTGATGGGTCCACTGTCTATATGTCGAGCGGAGCATTCCTGCGGGGGACGGGGGACCCAGGATTGGCTCAGTGGCAAGAAGACGGGGCAGAGCACCTTCCTCGAGGCAGAGCACCTTCACTCGCAGACCCGAGGGTCCCCTTTGCGGTGGACTCGGCCGGACGAGTTCACCGCCACGGGAGGGTCAAGGGGAACACCCTTCAGATTTAGAAAAAGACGCATGCACCATCATTCACCAGTGAATCAGAGAGCCTTTGTAGCCTTCCTCAGCTGGAAAGCTTGAGATTTCTTTCAACAATACGGGTTGATGTCTCTATCATAATAGATTTGTTGATTGAAAGCGTCCGTGGTGTGCCCCCCCGAAAAAGAACCATGAAACCATGGCAGTTGTCAAGCCTGGGACTCAGGCTCCAGGCGTGTTTTCCAATGATGATGTGTGATCTTTTTTCTTCTGACGATACTGACCGGGCTCCACCACGGCCGAGACGTCCGACGGCACGGGATGGCCGAAGGTCTGAAGGTTAATCCTAGGTTCTAGGGGGGGCCACATCGCCACATCAGCTTTGGCAGACACATTGTCAGAGTATGGTTCCCTAACTACACGTAAAAAAGTAAAGCAGAGTACAGATCTGGAGTTATTACTTTTTACCCGTTCCACTCAACTGTCAGAAAGTTCCTGCCCTGGCAAGTGCAGGAATATCCCCTGACATGATGAGTAAGAATTTGATTATCATCCCCGAAAAGGATTTGGAGGCTGGTACTTGCCAAACATGTACTTTAATAGCTGGCTTTGGTTCAAAAACAAAGACCCAAGAACCCAGAGTTTCTTCTTTTAACGATTCCCCTTGTAACATCTTGTTACCAGTGGGTTCGGATGATACCCAAAGGCAACCTATGTCTCAGCCGTAGCATCTTCTTATATCTTCTTGGTGTAATTAAAAGGCCTGATGAACCATTATCATCCACTGGAATGGGGGGGAGGTCAGGAACCGCCGTTCCCGCCAGGCCTTCTTGGACAAGGGTCGAGTAACGCCAGGGTTCCCAGATCCGCCGTGGGCGGATCCGAACTGGATCGCTGCTCCTTGCGGTATCCATAAAGACAAATCTGGGTGATGAGAGCAAGCCCTCAAGAAGAAGAAGAAGAAGAAGTGTTCAACTAAAACTGCAGACATGGAATGTTATGTGTTTACTTTTGTCGTAATAAGAGATCTCAGCTTCAAAGAGCCCTGGAGATGGCAGATGATGGCAGATGACATGGGCAATCAGTTATCTAAAACCGCTGCAAGGCATTCCTGTATAGCCTACTAATCTCCAATGTTTGTTTGTGAAATACATCGATGACTCCAGAGGGACTTGGTGAAGATTTAAAGGGACAGATGCTGAAAGAACCTATAGAGAGGTTGAACAGCCCTATATCCCCATCCCATATGTACCACTATAGTGCTACAGGGTCCGAGTTCATGTCTCTCAACCTCTCTTGGAAAACGCTGCTTCGGGGGTGGTCCTCAAACCTTGTGTCAGGTTCACGGTCAGGGCATCAAGACATCAATTGTGCCGCATGGTATATTGGTGGTATCGGTATCGTAAATGTGACCCAAACTTACAGTGTGCAGCCCTGTAAGGGGTCCACTCACAAGTGCTCAACCAAAATCCTTGAGACATCATATTGACTTGTCCTACCAGCAGGGAGATGCTACAGAAACTTCCCATTCATAAGCTTCCAAACCTCCCTTCAAACCTCACCACTTCCAAATGGCATCTTTTCCACCCAGACTTCGTCCTCCGGTTCCCACCACGGTAGGACGATGCTCATGCGAGTGCCGGTGATGGTGGTCCAGGGCGAGGCCCGCTCCGGTACCACCGGGTGTACCGCGCGACCGGTGTCTTGTTCGGTGCCGGTGTACCGTCAGTGAGTTCAAGATAGTGGCGGTGACCTGTTGGAAATCATTTATTTTCAGCCATGTTGGGAGGAATGACACAAATGCCCATGATATATATGAACAGCTATATATGGTGAAGCCGCAAGCCTTTCTATACATTCCCATGACCTGGGCTGTGACTTCGAGTAATCCCGGATGTGGTGAGGATCACAGCCGCCCGAGTTTTCCTCAAAGCCGGTGGCTTAACTTTGGGTCCTTTTTTTCAAAGTTCCTCGGAGTCTTCCACCCCGGATCATGACTTTTTGTGGTTAATTTATCCTCTACCTTCTTGGGGACACGTTGGCAGGAGATGGCAGGAGGCAAGTTGACCATGCTTTACTAACCAAAGCGTCACTCGTTGCTTTATAGCCACAATACGCTACAATGTTGATAACGAACGACCAAGGATGCATATCTCAAAATACCCGCAGTTAAGCACTCCATGTAAACAATACCACGCAACCTGGGGGGGAAGCAAGGCGTCACTGACCCCCCAATGGAAGTTCCTCATTCCCTATGGATCCACATACCTTCTGAGAAGGTCATTGGAGACTATTTATGTAGGCGCCGTCGGGTCGGATCACTAGAGTTTCCAGCCATTGAACGGCGCTTACTCTGCTTGGGCCACCGAAAGCTTCTCACCCGAGAGGACATGGGCGAGCGGGGCGCCATGCTGAAAGCCACGCGGATCTACCTTGAACAACAAAAGCACAGGCCCAGCGGTTCCAGATCGGTCGGGTCTGTCTTTTCGGCGGATGTGGGATTGGTAGACGTTGGAGAGTGAAGAGAAATAACAGGAGTTCATAGCATCACTTGGGCACGAAGCCATCATCGGGCGACACTGATCAGGATGAATGTGTAATGTCACGGGTCACAAGTTTAAACTTGGATGAACTTCATTTGCTTGACCTGTGCTTCAAATATACGGTAATATACGACACATACAATATCTTCCCTTGACCAGTAGTCGCACCCAAAGTTGTTCAGCCCATCAACGATGATCGGTCGGCCCATTTTCTTTTTCGCTCCAGTGGAGGGGGTGAGCACTGAAAAGGTGCTCTGGAAAAGGCCAAAAGAACAGAAACTGTTCACCGAAGCTCGTTTCTATTTGCACGCTACCTCAAATGGAACATGGGTATATACATGTTTTTGCCGGCAGTGGAGTGTCCAAGCTCCTTTGGACATAAATCCCCAAATCCCTCGACTCGCTTTTTTTGCCAATAGCTTCTTGTTACTACTAGTAAGGCACCTGTTACTACTAGGAAGGCACTTGTTTCTAATAGCTTCTTGTTACTATATAGATTCCCGAACCGTCCAGCAATGCTTGCAGGATCATGTCGCAAGCCTCCTGCTCCACGGGAGCACCGGAGTTTGTGCTGAAGCCGTCAGGGAAGCCCAGGTAGCAGAACGAGTTGGTGGAGTCCTGGAGATAGAGAAACAAGTGCCACGCTAGTAGTAACAGGTGCCTTACTAGTAGTAACAAGAAGCTATTAGAAACAAGTGCATCGCTAGTAGTAACCGGTGCCTTACTAGTAGTAACAAGACGGTAGCTATTCAGGCTCAGCAAGTCCCTGAAAGGAGAGGAAGTGATACCAGTTTGGGATCCTGTGGTGCAACAGTTGGAGCTTTGAAATACTCCAGGATGGGTGGCAGCAACCCACAATTCGTTGGACATGTAGGAATACACCGGAAGCTCTATAGCAGTTGTAATATGCTACAGTATATATCCTAGCGCTACAGGTTATATGTCAGGTTTGTACATGGGACACTCGGTTTGTTTGCTCCACATCCATATCTCAGTCAGGTGGGCCACAAATCCAGTGCACGTGAGGCTTAACTGGGGGCAGAGCAGGATCTGCTAAGTATTTAAAAATTGACGAGTCGGTGAATTTAGTGGAAAGCAGGTTACCTAAATGGATGAAAAGCTTACTGAGCCGATTTATATTCTATAGGGCCGATCAGCAGTTTTGTGTAGATTGCATCCTGTACACCACCACAGTGGTATAGATGCTACACCCCAAACACTAACACTCCATGTCATTTTCAACACCCAACCTGGGAGGCTTTCAGGGGTTCACGCGATTTAATATGTGAATTCCATACATTGCGTGTTTGAGTATTGTTTGGGTCCCTGCCATCCCGTCTCCTGCGATGCTTTCGACGCCCTGGGTCGAGGAGCGCCATTTGCGCACGCCAGCCGGCAGGCATGCGTGAGCACGTCATGCGCACCCGAAGCTGGACGGTTCTTGACAGGAATTGCCCAAGACTTTGCCTATTAGCGGGGGGGAGCCTTTGAAGGAGCGACTACGAAGTATCAGGTTAGCGCGCGGTTGTAGCGAACACTACTGAAATGGCCGATTCACACACCATTCCCCAATCCATGCTCGACGGTTTGGCACGGAAAGAATGCTGAGATGTTTGTTTGTTTTTGTTTGTTCGAGTGGGACCATACGTGCAGCGTGAGGCTCGAGAGTCATTGGGTGGCAATGGCTCCACACACTTGTCTCGGACCCAAAAAACGTTCTTCAGTTCTGCCAGGTGAGGACATCCCTACCGTGGTGGAAGTCGCAGAAGATTAGGCCGCAGGGTTAGAAGAAGGGCAGGATTCAGATGGCTTCAGGGTGAGAAGGCAGCTCAGAATGCAGAAGAAGACGGGTTATATTGGGTTATAGGTGTTATACATTATTATACTATATATATACACAAATTATATATAACCCCTCTCTGAAGTGGCTCAGTTGTAGTTAAAAAACACAATTTCGTAAGGGGTGCCCAATGAGTTTTGGTGCTAAGGGGTGCCCAATGAGCACCCGTTGCATGCTCCTGGTATGTATAAGCTTATTATATATATATATATATAGTTGTTTGTTTTATGTAGTATAGCAGAAGACCAACACAGGAACCCAGGTTCTGTAGAGTTCCCCTAGCGCCGAGGTTTTGGTTCCTCACAGTAGATGGACATTGGACATTTGTGCTTGGAGTCCTGCAGGGTCCTGTCGGCATCATCACCCAACAGACAATAAAATAAATATCCAAGACATATGACATATGTCATCTAAGATGTCAGGTGTTGTAGCGGTTGTTGATTTTTTCTTGTCGGGACATTTGTGTTGGGCACACTGACTTGCGCTGGTGGAATTCATGGCAGTGGTATCCAATATTTCCATTGTGCCTTGCATGTTTGCATAGCCTGAAGTGCATTGGGGTAGCATGCGCCAGCCATACCCGTAAATGATATGACTTCTTTGATCCCTCTGGACTCAGATAGGATCACAGATAGACTCAGATAGGCTTTAGCGGTCTCAGGTTCCGGAACCAAACAAGCATGGCTCTCGAGAGCGGGAGTTTCACATGTGCAAAGCTTCCTGAACCGACCATGGCAGGATCCAGAACGGTCCCAGTTCAATGGAGATCCAGTGATTTTTTCATCATTTGGAAGAGGAGATCCAGTGCATGAACGTATTTCAACTTTACATGATACTTGCTGTTTGTAGAGTGTTTGATGGAGATCTCCCATGGGTGACCCAATTGCCAATGGGTGATCCTTTTGGAAGGCCGATGGGTGCGGGTTACCCCCCCACAAGTTGACTCACTGGTCAGTCCTGTCACTGTTTGAACGGCATGAACTTGAACAAACGTGTTTTCTCGTTTGGAACTCCAAGCTTTGGGGGGGAATCAATAGTCGAAATATAAATGCATCGAATACATTGTATATGGTTTGCATTGGTTTGCTATCTATGTCCAGTTCTTCCAAGGAATATATGATTGGAATCTGGAAGGTAGTAGATGATGATCTATCGCAATTACATCCTCCAAAGACCGTGTGGTTTGCTTTGTTGTTTTTCTTCTCCAGTTTCCTGCTTTGCCCACACGGCTCTTCGCTTTGCTTCTCTCCTCCGAAAGGCTGTTGGGGCCCCTTTGGTCGCACACGAGGCCGCGGAGCGCGTTGGATGGATGGGATGGGATGGGTAGTGGACAGATGTGGGTCCCAAGCTGATCATGTCATTCAAAAGAACAGGAGAGGACTCGGAGAGGACATGAAAAGGCACGTCATCGCGCTTCCAATGGTGTCCTCACCGGTCGGACCGACCTTTCAGCTCAGTCACGGTCCAGACGAGACGATGAGACGGGAAGCCAGAGGTGACACCAGTGGCAGAACAAGATAGCAAGACATAGTTATACGCACTGCATGTCATAGCGTGAATGGACAACTGATATGCACCAAAGGATGCAAGATATGTTCTGCTTAGTTTTGAGTTTTGACATCGACTGCACTGGTCATTCTGGTGAACTCTGAAGATGGACTGAAGCTTGCCTTTTTTAAACTAGAGGTAGGATGGCTATGTTGGTTTTACCATCGTGACAATGCTTGCGGCGGCCCTCCGCCATTAATGGTTCTCTCTTTAGACCTACCTTTATCATTTCCAGCTGCTTTCAATGCTACTAGGGGGTCTTTATGAGATATGTTGGGACACCAACCTGTTGTTTGAGGTGCCCTCTTGCTTCAGCTCGCGGACCGCACGAAGCACCTCGGAGACCCGAGTCTCCCAGGTCAATGAGAGATGTGAGCGCCAGGCGCGCTCGGGCTGCCGCGATCAATCCTCCAACTTCTGTTTTTGTTTTCTTTTTTTAAGACAAATACCTAGCTAAAAGCACCGTTTCTTGGGAGTCAGCTAGACCGGAGTTTGTTGTTTGTTTTCAGAGTCCAAGGCCATTGTTTATGAATCAATGTGAATCGAGGTAAAGCCAAAGCCCCCCCGGATAGGTCGGTGTTCGCATGGCTTGAACTTGAACCATAGGAAATTCAAGAGACACAACGACACCAATTTGCTTTGAACAGCAAAGAACAAGTCGAGCAACTACAGCCCCAAAAATTTCCTTCATAGATGATCATCCTCTACAGCCTGCGGCTGAAGAATCCTTTCTTTGGGGGCTTGGTCCTTGCAAGGGTGGTAAAGGGTACCAAGAGCTCAGAGCCCGTGTGTCATGTGTGTGTACACATGTGTTTCCACCAATAAATTCATGCGGAAACAGACATCCTGTGGTGAGTATTGGAATCGGCAACTGCTGCCAGGACGAGTTTGGGAGGTGTTTGGAGTTGTTTGAGATGACGAAGAGTTTGGGCAGAAACTAAGTCAATCAAGTTTCAAGCCTTTTCCAAAAGCGACTTTGGATGATACGTATTTATAACTTGCATTGGTTCCTTTCTCTTAGTGTGATGTCCGCCAATGATGTTTCTTGTCGCAGTTGGGCCATAATCTTGTTTCAAGATGTTTCGACCACAGGATGTTCAAATGCCGGCCGTAGAATACACAGTCCTATAAATACACCATCACACCAAGTCGCAGCAGTTCTCGCGTGAGGCGAGGCCTGCGAAGCAGTGATGCATCGGCCTGATGTGGCGGCTCCCGATGAATATGAGGTGATTAGGATGATTTGTGTTTAGCTCATCTGCTAAAGACTATATATGTGTGGTCACAACTACAATATTAAGTAAGTGAATCGCTTAAGATCATTGACCTGCATATTTCTTTTTGTTCAAGTGAGTGAAGGCTTCTTTGACAGCTCAACAGCTGGCAACTGCCCTGACTCTTCGATCGCCTCAGTCCATCATTTTGGCTGTTTGCCGAGTGGTGCGAGCCAACGCGATCAGAGGTGGCAGGGTCTTTGAAGGCATGGCAAAAAGCCTCGGTTCGTGCCGTAATAAACCTGCTAACCCCGTCAACCGAATCAAGTCAGACCGGATTGACGGGTTCGAGGCGACCCTGTCGTCCCTGCCCGCCAAGTTTCCCGTGCGAAGGCGCCTGGACTTAGGGTATAGACTCGCCATCTCCGAAAACGGAGATTTCAACTGGCGAAGAGAGAGCTCTTGGAACCTTGAAGACTCCAAAGAAGAACCACAACCAAGAAGAAACAGCAGGGAATGTGGAGTCTTTCGGGGTCGTCGTTCTTGCAGTTTTCTGCTGGAACAGCAGCTGGAGGCCAAAGTTCAGCCTACCAACCGGTGTTCAGCCTACCAACCGTGCTTTGGAGGACAAAAGACTACCTGAGCCTCCCTTTTCCGTATCAACAAAGCTGATCGAGAATCGGAAAAGCACGGTTTTTTTGTTTACAAGAGAGCTTGAATCAGATACATGCAGGAGTCATGATTGTAATTGGTGTTGATGACCCAGCTGATCATGTTAGGAAATGACGCTCGATTGGGCAGATAACTACTCTCCAGTGGCGGATTAGCTTCGCGCGACTGCGTTGCACTCCTATTTGGGACATCTCATTGGGGCAGTCATCTAGAGTCTAGAGGGAAAACAAACGCTAAAACTAATAACAAATTTGGCACAGTCTTAAAATTAAACAAATCTCATTGAATCAATAATCTCAAAACATCCAAAGGTAAGAACAAAGAGTTGAGCCAATATAGGTGACACAATTGTCAGGTAGTCTTGGTATAATATGTGTTTTCGTTTCCCAGCATGATCTTGTTTCTTTGGATGATCAATACTGTACACCCAGATTTGGGGCTGTGGTGACCTGGTGGGATTGCTTCAAGTTCGCTAGACTGAAGGCCGAGTCGCCCACCACCGCCGCCGAAACGAAGGGTGAACCGAGGTCCCAAAATCCAGCCTCTCTAACTCTTGGGGGGGTGGTCATCATGGTCATCTGGAGGTTCTGAGACCAAGCAGGAGCCACCAGGGAACCACCTGGGAACCACGGGCCTATAGGGTGCTGAGGTGAAGAAGGGGATCACCTGGGTGCTCCGGCGACGGGAGACGCGTGGTCGCGCATGCCAAAGTTGAATGTTTGCTGATGGCGGGAAAGGCTCTTGAGATAGGCAAGAGATAGATATATCCAGATATAGCAGATGGGCCAATTTCCACTCAGACAGCCCTAAGAAACACTAATTTTAATTATGTACTCTATTTGAAGTCTTTCTTCGAAGGAACGCGGAAGAGAACAATCTAAGCTGAGACAACCACAGAAAGTTGCCACTATTCCACATGGTTCGCTTGAAGTTTGGTTCGATCTCGGCCATCATTTGAAACGCAACAAATACACAAAGCTCCTCTGATTCCGTCCCCTTCGTAACCCGCGGCGCATGGAGCCGCAAGCATGGGACCCGCTGCTCGGCTACGGGTCGAGTCCCAGACGATCCAAGGACATATATGACCTACATTCACCACCCAAAATACCACCAGTCATGTAGCCAACTTCGACGTCATGGATCGTTTGTGACTTCTTTTTAAGCTGATGTGGTGAGGTGGGGGGGCGGTGAGGTCAGCATCTGAAACCCAATTCGATGTTCTTTCTGTTGTGTTTTTCACTCGAAATGCATCCAAATAAATCCAAATGCTTGTATCAAAAAGACTGATTATATATAGTTAGACCATTTATATACATATATAATATATGTATATCTCATATATATACACATGTTTTTAGCATGTTTGGAAGCTCTGAAGGTAGTACAGTTGCTCCTAATAAGGTTAATTATGATTAATTAATTATGTGTGTTGCGTGTGTGGAGGAGGGTCAAAAATGTGAAACCCAACGAAACCCGACCAATTGATGTGCTTGCAACCAACATGACGCCAGGAAGAACCTTATTAATCCACCCAAGTTTGCGAGAGGCCTGTGGGTCCAAAAATGACATATAAATATATATTCCAAAGATGCCCAACTTCGGACAAACCTGGCTGATGGTTCTTGCAGGAAAAGGCCTAAGATGTTGCATAGTTAGAACATGTTAGAAGCTCCAGGCTCCAGGTACGGAGTGGACACCCAATCCCCGGAGCCCCACCATGTCCCACCACCACGACGACCTGGTCTCGGATGTTTTTTCACTCACTCGGGATGTTTTTTCACCCACTGACTCTGATTATTCTTTTCGTTGGAATCATCCACCAGATGAGTGTTTGACGACCCAGTCCACCCACTGATTTTGGACATCCGCAGAGGACCACATGGAATCCAAAAAAAACGGGCTGGTCTTCGGAAAACGCTCGAAACCACAGGTCTTGCTTCTCAGACTTCGGATCGGATCATCTCCTCCGTCCTGCTGTGGGGTCGAGACGACCCAAGGACCATCGAACCACGGCCCGTCCGCGAGGCGCGAGGGATCGCGAGGGTGCGGAGCGACCGGTGGGTGAAGTTGACGGACGTGACCAAAAGCCGTTCTCCACAGATGAAAAAGACCAAACTTGAAAGCATCCGGTCCTTTCATTTTGGAGTGGACCTGTCCTGAGTTCATGGATATGCATGATTGCGGAGGGGATTGGATTCCCCATTGAAACAAAAAGACAGCTTGAAACAGGTTCACCAGGCATCCAAAAATGCGCAATCTTGTGAGGCGAGCAGTGCTAGCCGGGCAAACCCTGAATTGTGGAGTGATGCACGGGTCAGATTCGAAGGTGTGCTCTTGAAAGTGTTTGAAAGTTCTGTCTTGGTCAAGCGCATTTGACATCCAAGTCCTCCGAGTTTTGATGTGTGCACCTTCATGTTGAGTAGATATCAGATATAACCACCACATCCACATGCCCGCCGAGGCCATTCACAAGGCCCGATCGGGAGGTGATTGATGGGGCTTCAGGACGCTGAACGCCCCAGGCTTCCTACTAGCCCCTTTGATTTCGACTAGACCCATATACCGGTTGTTTTTAAACGATTTGGAAGAAAGGAATAGGAACTGCTTGGAAACCTGAGGCGAAGTGAAGAAGTGAACCCTGAAGCGATCCCCGATGTTGCTTTTTCCGGTGGAGTACTGTTTCTTAGGCTTTGGCAGGTTCGAACGATTGCAAGTCACATAAGCACTGAAAGCAAGTCCCACTGGGTAAAGATCTGAAAAGACTCTCTTCAGGGAACAGGACTCATCACTATCACACGTTGTGGGTGGTGCGGGGGGGAGCACTTTGGAAACCGAACATGGAGGAGTTTGATTCTGTGGAAACATTGGGTTATCAGCTGAGCTGTGTTTGTTTTTTCTTCCACGGATACGTATACCTTCCTTCAACAATCAATGCCCTTCCTTGGAACAGTGAAACCCACTATGCTGCGAGCTTCATGACAAATCAAGCAGTCCATCGATGCCTGGTGGTGGCAGATGGTTTCCAGCTTTGGGTGCTTTAGAAAGGGGTCCACCAAGGTACTGGTTCGCTCAAGCTGGACAAAGCTCCCATGGACTTCATACCTTTACCAGTTGAAGGGCGTGTAGCGGGGACTGATGAGCTCACATTTTGACATTGTCAAGGCATGTCTCTTGCCTCCATTGTCCTGAAATAGATTGTTATTTAAACATCTTGAACCGCAAATTATTTGACCACATGCGCAGAATGTGCTACACTGGTTCTTCCCGTTCAACGCTCAAGACTGGATGTTCACATTAGTGGCTTTTCCATAGAGATGGATTTTCCCCAGAACTCCCTTGCACCAGGACGCGGTAAAAGGACAAATAAATTCACGAGCAACATCTAGTAAGTACGACCTTCATACTAAGGGTGTCGTTGTTTCCAGTTGTCCATTTATAAGCGAATTGGTTTAAGGACACCAAGGACTCCAAAGACACCAATTCCGGCTGGATGAGCCAAGACGCAGCCACCCACAGACCTTTCTCGGACTCAGCCAGACTGCTTGTTTTTTTGTGCTCAACGTCCGTGCCAAACAGGAGGTGGTTGAAGGAAGAAAGACATCGACTCAAACTGCGAAAAGGATTGCGTTGACGGTGTTTAGGTCATTTGGTTTGTTTGTGCAGTGGCGCAGGAGCTCTGATAAAAGGGGGGCGCACACAGGTGGCGACTGGAGGGTTTCCCCAGCTCCACCTGTAGTTCTCCTGCCGCTTTTCCTGAAATGATTTCACTCCTGCGGCAAGAGATGAACAATGATTACTGTAACATGATGCCCCTAGAAGCATGGCTGGCGGCATTATGTGTTGATTCAAGAAGTTGCTTTAATTTCAGTACTCATGACAAAAATCCCATGTTTGCTGTCCCACGCAGGTTTGTGACCTGCCTTCGTCTGTCATTGCTGAGTTCTTTCAGAAGAGGAGCCGTGGTTGAAGACTGGGATCAGGAAGTGGCGAGACGGGATTATGGTGTTGTTTGATTCTGTTTAATCTATGTTCCGGAACATAACAAACACATGAGGGGGGGTATAGCTGGAATAAGAAGACCCCCAACCTTGCTTGCACATTCTCGACATGGCAAGCCCGAACATGTTCATTCTCGGGCACCCTCTGCGCAGACGTCAGGTACCGTGGAGACGAACACATCTCCGACGAACACATCACATCCAGCAGAGGTTGAAGAACCCCTATAGACTATGCTATAGGTACCCCAAGTTACGGGTCCTAGTTCAGGTCACTTAATCTCTGTAGGATGGACATGAAGCTGCCACCATTCCATGGTATTTTCTGGGCCATCGGCCATCGCACTTCGAGGTCTAAAGGTTGTTAACGGAAAGGGCCAAGTTGAAGTGATGACCAGCTATATCAGATGCCACACCAATAGAAAGGCATAAACAGTGCATGAAGAGCTTCCTAATTTGGCATGGCTTTGTTTGCTTCCAAGAGACCAAACCTTGCAAGAAGTGCAGGCAAGCCAACTTACCCGACCAACTTACCTGGATTCCAGATGTTTGATTTGTGGCAATTGATCTATGGAAAATCCATGAAAATCCGACACCAGGTGGTCGCCGCAGTTGATTCCTGTAAGTGGGTCTTCAGTGGATCATGCCGAATCATGCCTTGGGCGTTGGCCGAAAACCGCTGTAGCATCATCACAAGGATCCATTCTATAGAATTGTGGGTGGAAGGGGGTTCAGATACTACCCTGTTTTACCCTGCTGTATCACTCAAAACCCTCAGTTTGTGTGCATTGGTTATTGGAACCCTGGAAGAAAGAGACCTCCCTAGATTGAAGGAACAGTCGCTGACCAAGGGCAGAGCTTTGTCAAATGTTTAGAGCTTTGTCTCCATTTTTCTATTTGGGTTCTGTCAATCCCACGAATTACTGTCCTTAAGTCCTCAAGTAGTTGAAGATAGACACTCGAGAAAGGGATAGAGTGGTTTGTCATGGGTCTATTTACTGTATCAAATGCGTGCTTTACGAAAAACAATAGATAAGACTCAAACCTGTTGGGGCGACCTCTGAAACGCTGGCCAATTCTTCACCCCTCTTCAGGAAGGCGCCGGCGAAGCCAGCAGCACCTCGCTTGGGCTTCTGGCAGATGGATGGGATGATGAGCAATTTTACATGTATGTATATGACCACAGTGACCATAGTGCTGACGAAATCTGCGTTTGTGCCGCAAATGAATGCAGTTTGGAAGAGGCAACTGAGCAAACACTTGAAGCGGTTTGAGTACCAACCATATTTACTGCATGTTTCTATGTCAGTGATTTACAAATCCTTTTTCCTGCATGAGCTTGGCCCGTGTTGCCGAAGTCAAACTTGCTGGCTTTGAGGCGATTTACAAATCCACAAAATCCAAACTCAAGCTTTTGGTAGATCCAGTGGATATACCGATATACTGACTATGGTTGATCCAAGACCAGTCGACAACTCCAACTCCTACTTGGTTCTTTTACCTCTCCCAAAAATCCTACAGCTCCTAAAGTCGTTCTTTCTGGCCTCGAGTGGTATTTAGAACCCTCCCCTTTGGTTAAGAAGAGAATCTTGCAACTTCGGAGGATTGATGCCGCACGTCCTTGGAAAGCAGGACTAGTTGCCCCGAGCAATTTCCAGTAGTTTCACGTCCTCCCGCTTCATCCATGATCATTTCTATAAAGTGCGTAGCTGTTTCACAGCAGGGTTCCGCAGTTTTTTTCGCTTCCAAAACAGACCGAGGATTTTTTTGCTCCCCTTGACGCAGCTCAATGAAGATCACTTTCAAGAAGCCGCGCGCACGGACCTGGCCGGTCATCGCCACTGCAGTCAGAGGCCGAAAACACTCGGCGAAACGCAAAGGCGGCCACTGGGGTGGCTGAGACGGGCAGTCCGAGTTCTTCGCGGTATCGATGGGTAGACTACCTGCCAAAAGCATCAAGAGAAAGGTTGGCAGCATTTGCTTTTGAGCCATATCCTCAAACACCATCGGAATGTCAGCACCTCAAGAAGGCGTGAACTTTCGGATCTCTAATTGCAGGGGGAACTACAAAATGAATCGAAATGCATAGTCTCTTCCTTAAACCCATTGAATCCCATTGATATCGTTCGGGGAGTTTCTCGAGGTGTTTGTTTTTTTTGTTGGGGTTGGAGTTCTCGCAAGACAGCAAGACATCTCAAAGATGACAATTCAGACGGTTGACCGGAGCTTCTGCAGTCCATATGAATGCTTTGTCTAACAAGTTGCCTCAATGCCAAAGAATGTTTGCGTTCAGCCGGTCGCCAGCAGGTTGGATCCATTTCTGCAGAAGGGCGCCAGGACCAGACATCCGGGCACATCCGGCTGTGCAAGACCAACAGAAGTTCATGTAAGCCCATCGTTGAGAGGATGATCATCACATCAGCTACTATTCTTTGTTCAACAGAATCCAAAGCATACCTGAACAAAGCAAGTCTATGTACACTGCTCTTCTTTGCATCATTACCTTTACTTGGTGAGTTAGTGAGTTCCCCAAGCCCATGCTGAACCCACCGAAAGCAAAGTGATTCCTGGAGAAACACATCGTCGATTCCGAAGCCCATCCTGCACTTCTGCGGCAGTTCCCAATCCCCTCAGGACTGCGCGTGACGGGCCACAGCGGCTGGGCGGCGGGCGCAGCCGCACGCGGGAGCTATCGCCGATCCAGGCTGCACATGAAGCGACGTCCAAGAAGAAAGCCATGATGCCTGGAACGCAGATAGTAATGATAGTGTTGCTCGCCGACCCCAAAAAACAAAGACACCTCCAAGAACACTCTAAGGTTGATAGACGATGCCAGGGTTTGGTTTTCTTGAGGTTCAACTGCAGCTTTAAAGTGTGAAAGCCGGAGGGGTGGAGCCTCAAATATCTTGGTTGGAGCCTGTGCAGGTAGTGCCAACTGGGGCTCTTGGGGTGGCGCTGGCAGAGCGAACCCCAAATCCTCGCCATGAGCAATGATTCGATGGTTCAGTGGTAACTCCGCGGCTCCCCGGACTCCGTGCGTTCCAGGGGCAAGAAGTCCAGAGAAAGCTGGACAGTGCCAGCGATCCAGGAGATGAAGGAGGCAGAGGCCTGAAAGAAGGCTACCCACCTAAATGAAGTGCAACTGCAAACAGGTGGACAGCCAAAGATGGCGCCCCATGAAGGAAAGGGACAAGGCAGTGCGAAGCTAAAGACATCGACGCAAACGACCAAGCGACGAAAGGCGTTCTGGCTGGTGACTGCTGACTGACAAGCAGGTGTCCAAACCTATCAAGCCAGCATGAAGATTGCATGGCACGACATGCTACCTGGGCCAGTGTCCAAAGCGGAGCGAATTGCTGCTCCCAGAGACAATTGGAAGCTGTGACTGTATGCAACTTGCCCCTTCACTGTGCATACCTGCCTTCTTGCGGTCCCTGAGGTTTCTGTTCAAGATATCCTTGCCTAAACAATTACTGTATCGCTTCCAGGCAGTGAGTGGTTGCCGCAACCGTTCCACTTGAAGCTACTTTAGAGACCTGCAATGGCCTGCATAAAATAAATATAACTGCACCATGTCATTGTCAGCATCATCATCTATGTTTATCTTCATCATTCTCATGTCGTTCATGGTCTTTGCTTCTTCTCCACCGGTACCATTTCATTTGTGGAAGTGTTTATGCAGATGTTGTTTTAAGTAGATGTAGACCAACTGGTCAGATATGGTTGCTGCGCCCCCTCCCGGCCCATCCCTGTTCACCATTTGAGCAACAGGCGAAACAGTTCATGTAAGAATTTACTCTTAGAGGGGTCTTTCCATGTTGTTGGCTGCCCAACACCCTTTAAAACGATATAATGAACTACCAGAATCGATAGCTTGAACTATGACGTCACGAGATCATGTTCCACTTTAACTTGATCATGATTGCCTCAAATCCCACAACGCTGCGTGCGCGCAACGAAGCTAGCGCAAGGAAGCCATCGTACTGACTGGTTACAGGCAAGTTGCTTACGCCCGTGGCAGGCTGCACAATGCTCGCTTTGTTTCTGTAGCCTCCTGCGCAAGGTTTCCTCGCGCGGCTTCCGACAAAGATCCAGTCATTGATCGATAACCAAATCGATAAGAAGCGACAACCGTTTGTTTTGCAAAGCCTGCCTTAGCGGCCACCTCCCCACTTAGGTCACGAATATTGATGCCAAAGTTCTCACAAATATGCGTGCGCCATATGGAGGACAAGTTGGCAACATCCCGCTTGGCAAAGCAGTCAGTGCCATCGGTCCTGACAAACATGCTTGACGATGAAGTTTCGTTCTACAAAGGCACGCATCCCACTGGCAACTGCTAGAGAGGGGCCAGTTCGTTTGACAAGAGCTGCCTTTCGGTTGCTGCTCAGCTTTTGTATTGACATAACCGGGGCAAGAAGTCCAGAGAAAGCTGGACAGTGCCAGCGATCCAGGAGATGAAGGAGGCAGAGGCCTGAAAGAAGGCTACCCACCTAAATGAAGTGCAACTGCAAACAGGTGGACAGCCAAAGATGGCGCCGCATGAAGGAAAGGGACAAGGCAGTGCGAAGCTAAAGACATCGACGCAAACGACCAAGCGACGAAAGGCGTTCTGGCTGGTGTGACTGCTGACTGACAAGCAGGTGTCCAAACCTGTCAAGCCAGCATGAAGATTGCATGGCACGACATGCTACCTGGGCCAGTGTCCAAAGCGGAGCGAATTGCTGCTCCCAGAGACAATTGGAAGCTGTGACTGTATGCAACTTGCCCCTTCACTGTGCATACCTGCCTTCTTGCGGTCCCTGAGGTTTCTGTTCAAGATATCCTTGCCTAAACAATTACTGTATCGCTTCCAGGCAGTGAGTGGTTGCCGCAACCGTTCCACTTGAAGCTACTTTAGAGGCCTGCAATGGCCTGCATAAAATATATATAACTGCACCATGTCATTGTCAGCATCATCATCTATGTTTATCTTCATCGTTATCATGTCGTTCATGGTCTTTGCTTCTTCTCCACTGGTACCATTTCATTTGTGGAAGAGGTTTATGCAGATGTTGTTTTAAGTAGATGTAGACCAACTTGTCAGATTTGGATGCTGCGCCCCCCTCCCGACCCATCCCTGTTCACCATTTGAGCAACAGGCGAAACAGTTCATGTAAGAATTTACTCTTAGAGGGGTCTTTCCATGTTGTTGGCTGCCCAACACCCTTTAAAACGATAACATGAATTACCAGAATCGATAGCTTGAACTATGACATCATGAGATCATGTTCCACTTTAACTTGATCATGATTGCCTCAAACCCCACAACGCTGCGTGCACGCAACGAAGCTAGCGCAAGGAAGCCATCGTACTGACTGGTTACAGGCAAGTTGCTTACGCCCGTGGCAGGGTGCACAATGCTCGCTTTGTTTCTGCAGCCTCCTGCGCAAGGTTTCCTCGCGCGGCTTCCGACAAAGATCCAGTCATTGATCGATAACCAAATCGATAAGAAGCGACAACCGTTTGTTTTGCAAAGCCTGCCTTAGCGGTCACCTCTCCACTTGCGTCACGAACATTGATGCCAAAGTTCTCACAAATATGCGTGCGCCATATGGAGGACAAGTTGGCAACCTCCCGCTTGGCAAAGCAGTCAGTGCATCGGTCCTGACAAACATGCTTGACGATGAAGTTTCGTTCTACAAAGGCACGCATCCCACTGGCAACTGCTAGAGAGGGGCCAGTTCGTTTGACGAGAGCTGCCTTTCGGTTGCTGCTCAGCTTTCGTATTGACATAACCTTTGCCGGCAGGTCAAAACCTACGAGGGATTTTCAATCTGCTATTCAAAGCCTTCTAAAACGACATAGCGAAAATCGATGACCGCATACAGAAGACCCGTAGATTGCTTGGAGGCTTTACCGTTTGCTCATCGTGCTGAAGGCAATTTTAAACATATCAGCAACTCAGAAGCGCCAAATCGAAGGGTCTTCCTTTCCAGTTCCTAAACCCTTTATATAGTAATGATTATGTTTCTGTCATGAGTCATAGATTGATTTGCCGCTTGTAAGATTTCCCGCAAATTAGTTTAATCTAAATGTAAATATGCACTTCAAAGGAATGCAATGCACATACTTATCCAAGAAACCGCAAGATGGTCGCCAAGCAAATTGTAACACCATGACTCCTTGGGAGTCGTGTTAAACCCGATAAGTCAACGAGGACAACACTAGATTTTTTCGTTAAATCGTATCTTGGAAAGGGTATATCGGTATATCATTCAACAACAAACAACAACAGTGTTTCAAAGCGGACGGGCGACGGTGTTTCCCGCAGTGGGAGGCCATGAGCAGGAGGCTTTAAAGGGCGCAATATCAGCCCAGTTCAAGGTTTTGGTGCAAAAGTGTACACTTAGCAACAGGATCTAAAGGTTGGATTCGGTGGAGTGCTGTTTGCCCAACGGAAGGAATCCACAAGAGGGTCACAGGGTCATACGGTTTTGCCAAGTTCAGAAGGCCTGAGGTAGTCATATAGGCAATAAGACAGATCGATGGACGTTGTTTGCAGGACATCAATCTCTTTAGATTTCTCTACATGGACATGTAGCAATCATCAATCATCCTCTCGAGACCATTATCAGCAAAGCAAATGAATACACTTACATTATGATTATTACAGTATTAATTTATATTCTTTTTGCATTGCAGAACCCATTTATATGAAACAACAAAATTCACTGCATTTGACCTGAAAACAAAAGGAAAACCTCACCGCTGGATCGGGCCCCCCCCCGCACCGTGCAAGACGTGCCTTACTGATGGACCGGACTTTGGAGGAAGGGCTTCACCGCGAATTCGCCGTGCGGAGCCGTGGAACAACGCACCGGTGAAGCCACCACAAGACAAAGACGAAATCGGAGAAATCTTTAAACCTTGGGAGTTGGTTTGTTCTGAAAAAGGGGTAACAAAAGGTCAACACATGTCATGGGCAAAAATAATGTTGATTAATTTTATTGTGCCCAAACAGATTGGTTGGCCATGTCTCGGCGCATAAAAACAGGCTACAAAATCAGTTGCTATACGAGAAAAGCCTCCGCAGCCTCCTGCCATGTCCCAGGAAAAAGGTCCGCGGCCGCAGGAATAGCATCTCAGCTGTGCATAGGGCATAGAGTTCTGCCAGGAGGAGTTGAATGTGGGAGCAGATTTCGTTCCAAGACATCCAACGCCCAATCTGCTCAATGGCATGCGACATCCAGCATCAAGGTATCCAATACCCATCCGCTTACGGAGGTTTTCCTGTGTAGATCCATGCTCAATTGGGTATGCCGGTATGCCTCACAGTTTTGGTAGTGAGAAGGTTATTCCGATATTCCCTAAAGTATCACAGTTTTGGTAGTTCCCTAAAGCTTCATAGATAAGGAATGCGACATCCGCGTTCGATACTTCCGCAGCTCACAACTCAGTGTCTCAGATGGTGCCTGTTATTTATCCACCTGGTATTAGAAGTTCCAATGGGTACAAGAACGAACGGAACAGGGGCTCTCCTGTATGTATATATATATATATACAGTAGTCCTTTTGATTTACACCGTGTTTGTTCGGACGCTAATTACTGTTGATGGAAGAATTTCAACACGAATTGGAAATGCCAAAAGCAACAGTCGAGTATTTTACACCCACTTAGAGAGAGTCAGTGTAGCGCCACCAAAGCTGGCCTGTTGCAGTGCCGAGCCCCGAATTCTCTTTGGCGAAGCCCTGAGGCATAGACCAAAGCCAGTCACTTGGATCTCTGAAGAGGAACATGCTGAGAAGCCCCGAAGCCTCACGCAGCGACATTGGGGAATGGGCAAGCTGGGGAATCTCCTGAATCGCATGTTTCTTTGGGTGAACCTCCGTTCCCTTGCAAGAAATCGTCCCTGACACAGTGGTCCCTGGCAATGAAATCCACACAAACATGGCCTGCAACAGCAGGCCCTCTTTGAAGGGCTGAAGATCATCAAAGGAATCCTGACTATCCTGACTGTCACGGCTCGGCTGATACTCTGGGGTTGATTCAGTAGGCAATACAATCACTGAAGGATTGCTATGTTCGACTCTGAGTACACTTCCTGGAATAATCATGGAAGTGGGACATGGCCCCTTGGATGACCATTGTCCTCTACAAACAGTTAGTTTTGCACTTCCACGGTTATTTCAGGGAGTGCAGTTGTCACGGGTTCCCCGCCAACAAATTGGCCCCAGGCTTCATCTATAGCTCCAAAGTACACCAACGCACCACCTGAATTCTTGTGGTTTTGGCCATGTGTCTCATCATGTCTCAAGATGACACGCTCAAGGCACTCCACTCCACCAGGTCCAGGTACAAATCAGGCACGGCATTCCAATGGCACTCATCCACCGGGGTCCGGCATTTCTATCCCAATGTTTGGGACCTAGCTTGACATTCCCTTGGTATCCCTGCGTCCTTTTCTTTTGTGACCTAGCACACAAACCGAAGACGGTGTTCTGCAGCCGCTTCATCGAACCTATGAGGTTTTTCTTCCTCCCGCCTGTGCCCGTACTGATCATATCAATTCATATCATCACCCAGACACTCCATGTCACGGCATATTTATACCTAGAACCTGAGTGACCTCTATTTTGAAAACCAACCACCCAAAATATGGTCTTGTCCTCTCGAAACAGAGGTCAAATGGGTTCGTACATACATTGACCGATTGACCCCTGGACCATACACTCCGCCAATCCGGACCTGAAACACAGGGGACCAGTGTCCATCCCGGTGTCCTTCCAGCAGGTCCCTCCAGCAGGTGTTTTTCCTGCGGGATACTATACGTAATTATTTCATAGGTGGCAGTACTGTACCACCTATCCATGATATCCCTCATTTTACGTTATTCAACTTTTGTGTTGTACGCGTATGTCATTTCCCACATCTCACATCAACAAAACTAGAAACACAAACAAACACATATATATGTAAAAAACCGTCCAGTTTGTACTTTGCTCATCTTTGCTCTATAATTCCGTGCTTTGGTCTTCATGTTGCCTGGACCCTCCTCGTGTTTTCTCCGCTTCCCGTCCGACCCTCCGGTCGGAGCGCTCTCAGGTCGAAGCTCCCGCGGAACCGCGACCTGCTTCTGGGTGCCGCGGCGCCACGGTTCGTCGGAGTGACGAATAGTCTGGGTCGGAGGAGGGTCGGAGGTGGAAGAGATGGTTGAAGTGGGGACCTTGGGACCGGTTTCTTGGTGCGAGACATGGAATGATGAGCAGGGTTAGAGTGCGGTTTCCAAGCAACCCAGGCGGTGTCCACCGTTGAACGAGGAACCTGTGGAACGACTCCCGTGGTTTTCGTTTTCCGCCATGGCCAGAGGCGTTTCGTCTCGGCCGAAGGGTGAAGCATGTGTTTTGTCACCGAAGGGCCACTGTACCACCCCAGAATGCCGTAAGTATGGAATGTACCTGTAGCACCACCCAGCTCCTGTACCCAAGGAAGTTGGTCACTGTTAAAAGTGTCACCTCCACTTTCACTTTCCCACTAAGACATGTTCAACATGTCAGATTCTTGAGCTACTCTACGCTTTTCTTATCTTTTCTTGACACAAGACGCAGTGATTCGCCATGACTTTGGCATGACCCGCACATCCAATCAACCCAGTTGCAACGTCGTGCCGAGGTACCAAGTCGTGCTATGCAGGTTTTGCGTGCCCCCACTTTCTTTGGACATGGCAAAGACTTGGCTACTAGTAACAAGGGCATTACTACTAGTAACAAGAAGCGACTAGTAGCTCCTGGCATTACTAGTAGCAAATAGCTACTAGTCGTTTCCCCGCCGACTCTTGACGCTTCACAGGTTGGCACGACCTCTTGGGCGAGATCCGCAGCTCCTCCCGCCGCCTGCGCTCCGCGCGCGGCGGTGCCCACGCCGAGAACGAGGTCCCTGCGCCCCGCGCGGCCTCGCCGCGGCCGGAGACGGCCGAGACCCGGCCGAGGACGGCGGTGGAAGCTGCAAGCATGGAGTTGGGTGTTTGTCTTTTGTCTTTACATGTTTTACATGGAATATAAATATAAACATAAATAAATAAACAGAGAAGAATGCCTGCAGTTGGTAGTTGTATACATGTATATACATACAATAAGGGTTGGCTGTTGGATCTTTGCAGTTGGATCTCTGGATTCGTTGGGCCGATTCAAGAGCAATGTTTTGGAGGGTATCACCAGCCTGGTGTGTTTCAGGATATGTGCAGGTAACCTGCAAGATGTCATGAACTTGAGCATGTTCGAGAGGGTTGGTGAGGAGTGCTGGTCATGGGTAAGGGTTGGATATGTCCCGATGATGTCAGACCCCAAGCATCCTTGATGTGGCGTCGCAATGAGGAGGCTCTCATGCAGCACATGCGGTTACAGTATAGGCAATCCAGCAACCTGCGAGTCTTGTCATGGTGTCAAGTCGGAGGGCACGGGCACCTGATTTTGGCCATTCATGTGTCAGTCATAACAAAGTGATACAAAGTGTATCAAATTGTGTGTATAACCTGCGGACTCTGACATCCAATCGAATGTCATTTAAGGATCTGAAATCAGGATTGGTTGAAGCGGCGCTAGAGTATTCAACGTCCGTGGTGAAGAGCCGATGTACTAATCAAGCCTGGAAGATGGAAGTTCGGTGTTTTGTTCACCGTTTAAGCCAACGGTTCCCAGCCAAGGTTCAGAAGCCATAAGAATTCCACAGAGTTGCACGTGCATCCTGCACACAGAGCACCACCGCAGGACGGAAGAGAGTCGAGCGGGCACCGCTGAGACAGAGATTGAGATTGAGGAGAGCGATGATGGACTCTGGCTGTCATACCGACGCTGGGCCTTAAAGGGGGGTTGCCATTGTGAAAGACGTCACAACCCTGAAGCAAGAGCCATTTCTTTACGGAGGGCTTGTTTTTCGATGCGCAATGCACAATCAGGTGTTTCTCCTGTTGTAGATGTGACAAACCAGAGCATCACCGCAACTCTCCATCACCGCGACCACATGAGCCCTGAGGTTCATCATTTGTTCGTTCGACACCCAAGTGGACCCACTCACCCCAAAGGCAGGGATCAATACCTTCATCCACGAAGCGAAACTGAACCAAAAGTGGCCGGCAAGGACTGATCGGAAAGGATGGTGTGATATTGTGTTCGTACCTTTTGCTTGTTGTTTTTAGGGTCCATGCCATTCACTTCCACAATTGTTCAAGAGAGGGTACTTCATTTGGAACCCATGTGTATTTGTACCCCACTCTATGAGGCTCATCTTAGTTACCTGGTGTTATGTTAGTAGCTTGCATCCAACGCGTCGAACAGGTCCTGCTTCACCTGGCTAAAGCATAAATTAAATAGCGTTGTTATTTCTTTCATAAGATTGTTGATATGTATTTGAGTTTTGAAATCATATGTACTTACATATATGTCCATATACTTTTTGTTATGTTACTAAAACAATTCCGCTCAATCCACTTTAAATTTATGTATAATCATTCTATAAACGAGAGCACATAAAGGTTCAAAGACTATGCCTGAAACTAGGCAAGATCATGCATGCACGACCGTAATCCTAATACTTAATGACTTGTGATGGAAGTAGGATGCAGCACAAGGAGACTCTGCCCGAGTTTTTGTTCCTCACACCGATGAGAGCAAGAAGCACCCTCAGGCATCACTGAAGAGACTGTGCCCAACTCGCTGCTTCTACGCATGTGGAACTACGCCATCGACCAACGGAAGGCCGGTCAGCTCGACGTGCCGTGCCCTGCGCGCCGGTGCCGGGTCCGTGTGCTCCCTTCCAGGACGAAGGCATTTTGCCCTTGGAGCGAGTGCCAAGGCTCACGGTGACTCAGCGGGACATTCAGCTGCCACAGGTGCAGGAGAGGACCATGTCAACCTTCGGATCCGGAGCGATTTTGAGCCATATGTTCGGGGTCGCAAGTGTTGTGCTGTACAGGGATCAGGAATACAATATGTATGCTCAAGTGCTGAGGCCTTGGTATGCCGGCAAATGATTCTGAAGATTGGGGATCGACAAAATATAGTTCAAGACTAACAGCTCAAGACGCACTGCCAAGTGCTCTCTTGAGAAAGGACTCTGGATAATTAAGAAGAGTTTGGATTTTCTGAACTGTAGTACAGTGATAGCTCAGTGTGAGCAGAGCTGGGCACACAGATGACGAAGGGTCCAACAGAAAGCTTTGTAGACACATCACGGCAGGTAGTTGAGATTGCCCCTACCCGTAGCAGTGGTATGTCTGCAGACTGCGGACCAACTATGCCCACCAATTAACAAAAAGATCTGACCATGTTAGTTGCAGACAGAAGAAGCGCAGTTTGGAGTGATTCTCCGGAGACCACGAAGCAAAACCAAAATGTATCCGATTTGTTGCAGATCTGCTGGTCCTCCCCTGACAGCATAAGTACATGCCAGGGTTAAAGCCGGCCAGGTACAACCGACAGCAACAAGTGCCACCCAAACAAAGTCTCATTTACAGCCTTCTTATTTCAAGCTGTCGCCATCAATTGCCTCTAAATCTAAAGAGACCCAGTTGAAGGCATGAGGAGCCAATGGAGAATTTGTCCAGCTGCGCAGACAGGGCTTACCATTGCCACTGGAGTCACAGCACTGTTCAGCGATGGCTGCCTGAGATCCATCTTCTTTTGTGGCTGCACCGGCATTGGAGGCAAGTCACCAACGGATAGTGTAGCACACCTGCCAATCAATTCAGTACAAGCAGTCCATCTCAATAAACGCACGCCATTTTGCAAATGCCAGGGCTGACAAAACTACGGGTGAGCCACTGAAGCACCACGCAAGCACTCTCACATGTGGCTGCTGGCCCTGATCAACAGCGAAGCCATGATCACAAGCTGCCCCTCCAGGCTTTGAGCACGGTCCAGCACCAAACTTGTGCACGTGCTGTTGGCAGGAGCGCCACACGCTCTAGCACAACCATCCACATATTCCCCCTCAAGGCTGCAAAGAGGCCGCAAGGAGCACCAATCAAGTAATGCTGGGCGAAGCGAGACAACTGCATGAGTCATGTGCCCAGTTGCACAGACTGAACCATCGACGAAGACAGCAAAGGAGACCGGTGGTTTGAGGGGTCAATGTAGGCATATATGATCATATATGGCATACATGGAGTGTCTGGGAGATAATGCCAGCAAAAAACATCCCGGAAAACATCCACGACGAAGACCCTCCATGGCGTTGCGACCACCAAAAGTGGTTTGCGTCGACACGGCCGCACTACTTGTAAGACTTGGCCCCCCAGTGCTACCCGTGCAGGTAGTCAGCACTTGGGAAAGGGCATCAGGACATATATATATATATATATATATATGTGCCTCTTTTTCCGAACTTGGACGATTTGGACGTGGCCCCACCTTGCTTATATACTTTATATTCCGTGAGCAGTCGAAGAGGCCAAAACAGGTCTTGATAGAGACTTCCAAGACCCAAGATCCTCCCAAATATTTTTGTTTAAGGAACTTTCAACCGACGCACCCTGAGAGTGCTGACAAAGAAGCGTGTTCCATCAGCAAACACTCTCGACTAATTACTTTGCTTTTGATTAGAGCAAATGAGATACCCATAGACTATGGCGGTTTGGCCACAGTGGTTCTCTTGATGAGTGACATGAACACATCCCAACTACTTAGATTTCCCAACCGTCAGTCAGCATTGTATTTATGTTGCAACTCCTGGCTTCCGATCGCGGCTATCACCTCACCGCAGGACCTCCTTCAGTGGCGGTCAGCCAACCGAAGGCCCTTTATTGTGCAATCGGAGCTCGGGATTCCGTGGGTGACTGATAAGACTCAAACCAGGCGGAACTTGTTTGTTTAAAGACTTGCCTTTGATCTCCGAACTGACCTGACCAAAGGTTGGCTGCTTCTTGATTATATATTAACATGAGGGCTTACTCTACATTCCATTTCGACAGACAGTTCGCAAATTTAATTTAGGTCATAGAAAGATTTTTTTTGATGTGTCCAGTTTGCATCTCCATGTTGTGGATTAAGAGCGTGCGCAACTCTGCGTGCATTTTGCCATGAGTGTCCAATCCTGGGACTTCAAAGTGACCCTTTCAGATCGTAGATTTTTGTCACTAAAGCCTTTTTTTTGAGGGTCTCTTCATTAAGGACCCTCAAATGGCCATTTGAAGAAGCTGGCGTTTCCAATGACTTTCGAGCCCCAACGGGGCGATACACGGTGACCCGCTGATCTTTGTGTGGAGGCGCCGGGAGCAACGGAAGGCCCAGAAGGAGGCAGAGCCTTGGTCGCCTGGTGGGTCCGGAAAGTGGTGGATGTTGTTTCGATCGAATCCAGGTTGAGAGGGTGGCCTGATTGGAGGGTTGTGGAGCTTCGTAAGGGGGGATGGAGCTTGAATGAGCTTGACTTGGAGGGAGGCTGTCCATAGTCCATCATATTCCCACGTTTCATTCAGATTTGTGATTTAAAGCGACCTAACTGCCAGTTGTTTTATGCCAATGACCTATCTTCAAACTTAAGGAGAGAGCAGATTGGAGAGTCCAAGAACAAACCGAAACCAAACATGGAAGTGGAACAAGCCTCCCAAGCCACCAGAGAGTCCTTGTTGTTTTTGTTGGTGGTCTCAAGCGTTCGCATGTCGATTCAGACACTCAAGCGTTCGCATGTCGATTCAGACACTCTCCAAGCATGGTCAAGGTTGCGAACTGTGGCCAGCGTGGTCCATGTTTCATCCCTCAATCACTCAAGAACATCTTCAAATTTGGTCTGAATTCTCAAGCAAAATTGAGAAAAGTTCTCTTGAACTTCACCTGCGTGCTCTCCTTTGCAACCAGAGGCGGAGGCGCTCCGAACGAAACTCACATCGGTGCAGAAGTTTACGGTATGGACACGCGACATATGTGGACCAGATATTTGATCGTTTGATGATATCTGTTGGTTTTCCTACATATATATACAGAAGTCAGGCGCAAAAAGCATTGGTTTGCGCAGATGTACGTCAACGTGGTCAACGCGTGCTTTTATGTCTGACACCCTGAGGAACGCAACCCGAAGCTGGATGAGATGTTGACGGCCATTTTTGGAGCACGGACCTCAGTGTATGCAGAAGAGGCTTTCGGTGTTCCGCAGGCTCTGAAGGTGCAGGCTATCAAGTTGGGTCGATGAATTGGGCATGGACACGGGCATCTGATCACGAAAGCCGTATAGCTTTGCTGTGGGTCATAGATCTACGATTCTTATAGGATCTTATAGGATCAAATACATGGGTGTGGGTCGCGATTGTTGGGGTGTGCCATTTCCAGGGGTCACTGGTGATCAGGTTTCTTGACAAGAATGCCTGACGTAAGGGGTGGTCGTTATTTTCGAGGCGAGGTTTGGGTTGAAAGAAGTAGTAGAGATGGGCAGAGTGGGATCACACACCTGGGGTTTGTTCAGGCAAGACCTCTCTTCAAAAGCAACAAACACAACTGTGACAACAACAGCAACAGATAGACCAGGTCCGCTATTGATGGAATCAAACCAACTTTAAAACCAAGCAGGCAGGAAGCCTCATTTGCCCACCCTGCGTATCAACCACCATGTGGGGCCCTGCTCTACACGTCGTCTCGCCCCTACCAACCACTTAAATCTTTGGAGTCTCCACAAGACACCTCCCCTCTACCCACCTTGGCAACGACCAAAAGCGTGCCAGGCCCCCATAGAGGATGGCCTGAAGCGCCTCTCCAGTTCCAATGTTCACAATGTTCCATAATGTTAATTTCAACCAGAACACAATCACGGCTCTCCAACTGGTATGGCTTGGCATCCCAACCTATAGCTTGGCATCCATCCATCTGGTAGGTTGTTTTATTACGTAGACAGAGCCCCTCTCTGCTCCCGCAGCCCCTCTCTGCTCCCGCAGCCGTAGGCAGAGGATATGGACTTGCTCCAGCTTGACGAGGCTGGTTGGACCTGGTCCATCAGTCCCGCAGCGCCGTGTTGCTCGGTGGCGCAACCTGCAGGGAGGCAGGTTGCGCCACCGCAAGAGCAATACAGGTCCTGGCCATTCTAGCTTCTTTCTGGTTGATTGACAAGGGATTTTGGTGGCTTTTAATATTATATGTGTTAATGTCCCATCATTACTTTGGAAACGTTGGGTACCAAAAGCTTATCCAAGTATTTTATCCAGCTAGAAAAACCGCCAACGAGCATGTGCGAGCTTGATCAGCATGGTGGTGTGAGTGAGTTTGGAGAGGGATCTTTGTTCTGCGTATAAGCAGCGGATGGCGATGTCCTCCCCCTTGGGGAATGAGCAATCCAGCAAGTTGACTAACTGGTGAGTACCAGTCCTTCTTGTGAGGTCATCCTGGCTTCAGACCATCCGGGCCTCCCAGTGAAATCCACCAAGTTGTCAGGTTTCAGACTCGACACACTACATCCAGCCATAGTGTTGAAACACTCATCGTGTGGATGATCCTAGGGAAGTCAACCACCGACCCACCAATACTACTGTGGCGGGGAATCCTTCATTATTTCTGCCTCTTGGTCATTGAATCGTTAATACCAAAGCGTTTTGAATTGGCTTGGGTTACTTTGCAAGGTGCTCCGAACTTGAACATCGACCAGGGGAACTTCCACCAACTCAATCTGGATGATGATCATAATTTATGTTTATATATACCAACGGACTGGAAGATAAAATGTGAAACGGCCGATGCCGAATGACCCCACTTTCCGGACCGGCAAACCCTACATTCTAACAGTCAGTGTTAGAATGTGCAGAAAACCTTTTAGAATGCGTCTCTTCATGGTTCAGCAACACATGAGGACCAGAAAGGTGAATGCAAAGTGAAGGGCACATTAAAGGAATTGAAGGCATGTTCTAAAACCACATTCTAACTTTGGGTCTCGGCCACCCGGGTCCAAGAGCTGCTAACTCTCGATGCCAAAATTTTGGAAACGGCGCCTACATTCTAAGTTCCAGTCCGTCGGTATAGTGGGATACAAGAAGAAGAAGAATAAGAAGAAGAAGAAGAACCACGCATGCACTTGGGGACTAGACACCACCGCTTAACATGTTGCCTTTCTCTGCCAAGTTTTTGGTGGCAATATTGAGTTACTGTATGGAACTTCTTGCATGCGTCTAAGTTTTCTAGAGCTTCTATTGATTTTGCCTGGTTTCCAGGGGGTTCATCATCTGCCAATCATTTGCTCTTTTCCTGCAGTTCTGGGTGCCTCTGGTGGTGTGTGGCACGGCTCCAGGCGCAGCTGCAGAAGCTCAAGGCCTCTGAGGCCTTGGACAGTGCCAGGGCCGAACTCGGCGGCTCTCCGCGGTGCCTTGGCGCGCTGGGTGTGGAAGAAGTGGAGACGCCCTCAGCGCATCAGCAGCGCTTGAAGATGGAAGAGTTGGAACTTCTTAAGGAGGGGGGGTCGTTCCATGTGTCGCTCGATCCCTTGGTAATTGAAGCACACCAAACACTATCGCTCTTCGAGCTTCAGGCTCGCCCTCCCCTCTCCCTCTACACACCGGGAGGAGCCGCCGCAGATCGGCTGCCGCAGGAGATTCGACTGATTCTCAGCGAAGACGTGGACGAAGCCGTCGAAGCGTTCGAGGCCTTGGACCCGTCCGGCTGCCCGGCACAGCGGACCCGTCCGGACCGCGCGGTGTGGGACCGGGTGTCGAGCCGTGAAACAGGGGGGATGGGGGGTTGAGGGGTGTGGAAGCTTCAGAGTAAGGGTGTTGTGTTCGTGTTCCATGCATGTTGGTTTTCAAAGGAGTTGTGAGTTCCAAAAAAAAAGCAAGTTGTTTGGCTGTTTATATCAAGAGATCGAAGTTTGGACCAGCACTCGCGACAGCGCTAAGAGAGGAGGCATATCGTTTCTCACAATGGTCCGTTGCGACCTTGCACTTTTTCCTGTTTGGTTTCCTGAGGCTTGCCAGATGTTTTGGTCAGCCAGTAGAGACTGAGAGGAAGTGCAGTGGGTGAATCACTGGAACATGTGCACACTGGAATTCAGTCTGTTGTCCAGCCAGTGTTCTATCTTTTCCAGAAGAATCGAAGGCCATCCGTGGTGCTCCTCAAAAATCCTTGAAGCATCGTAATTATACAATATGTATTATTGAAATATAGGTAATGATCCACCACCCATGCCATGCCAAACAAATGACCTCCCATTCTTCACCACCCCAGTCCTGGGTCCTGATGGGCCACCCATCCCCAGACCGGAGCAGCCGGACTGGACTTCCAAGGAAGCTGCTGGGTGCCTTACGACACGGTCGTCGGGGCGCCTTCGATGAGGGCAAGGCCGGGGCCCGGAGGGCATTTCAAGAATCAGAACGAATCCTTAAGTTGATATGATTATAAGATACAGGTATTGGGAATTTTAGGTATCTCAGATCTCAACACCTGTTCATGAATACCAGGGACCTCCAAGTTTTTGAGACATCCGGTGGAGACTCGACACGTCACGACGGCATCCGAGAGAAAACGAGCGAGTGTCGGTCCCAGCTGTGTCGAACAGGTGGCTGTCTCAGAGATCGTTCTTGGGAGCATTCCCTCAAGGTCCGTCTTAAAACCTGTTTTTTCGTGGGCAAAGACCTGAAAAAAGACCCTGACAAGCACTGACAAGGCATTCATTTGCTGCTTTGTGTGGTTGAGCGGTGTCGTCAAGATGGCTGTAGGTCAATCCCCAGGTGGTCCGGTGGTGTTCTTCCGATGCTGCAGTTGACCCACTGAACCCCAAAACGTGAGAGTTTGTCATGTGGAGATGTTCGGTTGTTCTTCGGCGACTTGGAGTGCAATTTGTGGGAAGATCGATTGGTTGCTTCTTCTTGTTGCTGTTTTTTGGTTTTAAGTTTTCAGGGTATCATAGATGCTGTACAAAAAGAGTGGCCGTAGAGTGTTAAGACTTCCCAGTGCCCAGACAGGGCTGAAATCTTTTAAAACAATTTTAAAACATAAAACAACAACAACAATTCCAATAATAAACAAAACAGACTCAACTCAAAAACTCCAATCCAAAAAGACTCAATAGCAAGTCTGATTTGAGTTTGTCCTGCCAGATACTCAAAAAGTACTGAAATCAGACTCAAATTAGAGTTTTTGCGGTTTTTGTGCGTTTTTTTCTTTGAGTGAGTTATTCCTGGGTCTAATTTGAGTCTTTCATTTGAGTTGCTTTGGAATCTTAGTTTTTTGCGTGAGGGTTTTTTGAGTAGATTGCTGAATTGTTATTTGTTCATCTTGATCCCTTGCTGTTTGGGAGCGGGATAAGTATAGTTCTTTGAAGGGATCGACAATCACTCCCATGTGGGTCAGAAAACCAAAGTTCCTCCCTACCCGGATCACAGAAATGACCAATGCCTGCTTCAAGCGTAGAAAATCAACGATGCCTATTACTATAGATCACCGCCCAGCCTGCTCCACCCGGCCACTCGCTCAACTCTGCCCAGCTCCACCCAGCATGTCGATCGTGAGTATGCCGCGTAGAGCAAGTAGAGCTATCAGGCCTCCGCGAAGCTGGCGTTGTCCATCGCAGATCTGCAGGCACGTTGTTTGCGATGATGATTGATAAGTCAAAAAGTGTGTATACATATAAAGTTAAAGACATTAGTATACTGTACTTCAGTTTTAGAGTAGTAGATTGATGTAGAGATTTGTCAGATTTACATCTACTGATCTACTTGAGTCTTTTAATGGATTGATTGATCTAACTGTAGATTCTATAGAGGGAGACGTTCGAGGTTTCTACAATTCTGACCCTTGGCGCAACCTACCAATTGACTTGAACTTCCGGTCCTGCTACAAACCAGTTGTTTTCTGCTTGAGGTCCTGGGGTTCTTAGGGTTGTTGATTTGGGGTGGACTTGCCATGCTTTCTATTTCGCACCAAAGGATGTGTTCAGGTGCCGGCGTCCTGACGGGATTCAAAGCTGCAGAGGTTTGTTCCATGTGTTTTGAAGGGTACACGTCCCAACAAGTCCTCAGAAAGTCAGAATGCTAAGTCCGCAAGCACTTTGACCTTTTTGAAACCAGTCCGCAGATGAGCTTTGGGTTGGGTCGCCGGGTCGCCTGCCCAACTCTGGTGGAAGATTGTGATTGGGTCCTTCCGGTTGAATCGCACCTTTGAACGTTCTGTAGAAATCCGCGTCCTTGTTACTATACTACTAAGGCACCTTGCTACGAACGTAGCATCCTTGCTACTAGTAATGCCAGGAGCGCCCCATTTCGTCGCTTGGTGCTACGTTCGTCGCCGTCCGTTGTCCGTCCGTTCGTCGCTTCTCCGTCGCGGTCGCGGTGTTGGGGCCAGGCACGACAGGATAAGAACGTGGTCCGGTGCAAGAAGCTTCGGAGGGGAGTGGAGCACACCCGTGCCCTTAGGTGCGGAGGGGAGCGCACCGCTGGGTGGGGCCAGGGCATGGAGGGCGTTGGAGGATGGAGGATGGATGGTGACGTCGGAGGAAATCTGTTAGCCGTTCTAAAGTCCAGTTTTTCATTGAAATTTATTTTGCCTGGTGTTAGGCGAACATGTTGGCCAACCCAGGATGGCTAGTGACAGTTGTGCAGCTTTCATGTTGTTCTTCAACCTATTTCAAGTCCACAAAGATGACCGGATTGAATTGGGTGACAAACTAGTCTCCAACTCGAAGATCAATGAAGCCTTTGAGACACAATGTTTTGCTTTGCATTTATTTTGTACGTTTTGTAATGTTCCTGCACACTCATTCTGAAACGACTTGTTGGAAGAGTATCTTTGATTTTACTGTGGAACGTAAATTGTGTACCTTCCGCCAATGTCACATTGTCCCAATGTGAGGGCCTATCTTGGCTCAGATTTTTAGCGACCAGTCAGTCTTGCTCCGTTTTGTGGTCTCTCTTCGTGCCATGGAGGGGATCCGCTATTTCAAGACCTTCGTCCATATCGATGATCCAACAGATTCCATATCGATCGGTGAAACCCGTGCCCAGAGCGCTCCGCCGATGATTCGCGAAAGTTTGGACTTGAAACACCTCCAATGGACCGAGACCAGGCAGACAGCGATGCTGGGGGTTCTCGTGCAGAAGGGGCAGTTGCTCAGGTCCAATCCAGATTGGTGCACTTCGACTCCAACTGGCTCACGTAAGGAGTCCAGTCCTCTGGTTACTCAGTCAAACGGAAGCTATGGACATCCAGATTTGTGTCGAAGGCCTTGTATCTTGATGGCACGGGGATCATGTGATAAGGGTTCCTCGTGTGGCTTCTGTCACTTGCCTCACGAAGCAAGACCCCCAAGTATGGACTCGAAGCAAAGGCACTTTATCAGGGGTCTCACGGAGCAGAGGTTCCTTGAGATGCTTCTCCCTTTCGTTGAAAAGCATGTGAAGGAGAGCAAACTCCATGAAGCTCAGGAATTGCTTCAGCTCTTCCAACGAGAGCTTCTCATTCGTTCCCCTCTCAGTCCCCAGAACACCCTTCCTACTCCTGTTCCGCGGAAGATTCGATATGTGCTCGAACGTATGACCCTTGCCAGCCTTGTCGGCTTGGCTTGCGCCACTATGAAAGGCCGCATCGCCATGCTTGCATCAGAGTCATTGCGTCGTTTGCGGACAGAAGAGAAGTTTCTTCAAAGTTCCGGCTTTGCACCATTGTGAAGTGATTGCTAGAATCAGTTTCTTCAAGGCTTCAAGGCTTTATCTCTTGTTGCAAACCTGATGTCCTACGTGCTAGCATTTGTCTCATGGGGCCGGATTCTTCTAGAGCAAATTTTTCAACTATTGCCCGCATGAATGAGAGTAAGGCTGCTGATTTCAAGTCCAGCGTAGTTGTGCCGAAGCGTATAAGACTCCAGCTCCCATCTGGCTTCTTTTGAGGACCTGGGGACTGGACAGGCTTCGAGTGCAAACTAGGCGGACCGATTGTTTGATCTCCCTTTGACGCTGCCGCGCCATCACTTGAATTTCAACCACATGTCTCAAATAAGCAACACAAGCTAGTTGCCACACAGGGGCGGGGAGGGTCCAGTCGAGTAAACGATAGGAGAGCGTGGATGCTGGTCTTTAGAGTACCGAATGCGTGGCTTGCCAAGCTGTTGCTCTTGGTCACCTACCTTTCCTTTCCTTTCCTTTCCTTTCCTTTCCTTCGTTCCACTCTTTTCTTGCCTTTTGGCAGGTCCACTTGGTTTACCCAACACATTGGTCTCGCATCACCCTTTCTTGCGCTGCCTGGTCTAAAGACCCTTTCCACTGGACAGACATGCTGATTTGCTTGTTCAACCTTGTTTATGAACTTGTTTGCTCAGCTTGACCATATTGCCCAGTCACTCATTGGCAGTGGAAGACATTTTGTTTGTTTGAACAACTACATACTTCATCATACTTCAAACAAACAAAAGCAAGGAACGTACCGGAGCCATGGTTAGGAAGGTGGTTCTCCGCCAGATGTTTTCAGGGAGCTTCGTTGAACTTAAGTGGAGAGAGCGAGAAAGGGAGGTTTGTTGTTGTGATGCTCCAGCTGCAAGTGAATGGCCCAACCACTTTCAGTGAGTTCTTCACCAGAGGCTATGTAGGCCACTTGCAAGGTGAAATGTAGGGCTGCGTCAAAGGAGACCTTGGTTTTTTTCAGCTGCGCATCCTGCCCAACATAGAGTTGCATTGAACATCATTGA